TGAAGTCTTCATTGTTCACATATGCTCATTCCAGTCCACTCTCCTTGTCTGCCAGGTTACATTGATGTCACACAAACTGTTCTCATTAACAGTGGCTGGACTTTTTCTGGACAGACCTCATATGCATAGCCCATGGACACAGACAACAAAGTGGTGAAAGCTGGGGGCGGGGGCTTGGTGGAGGTGGGCCAAGGGGGAGAATGGGGAATATCTGTAATAGTGTCAACAATAAAAAGAAGTTAGGCCTTTATATATTTAATTTCTTTACAATAAACTATATATTAGACCCCTGACAAAATATTAGCTGATGCAATCAGTCATCAATTCAAATGATTACAGCCAAGAAATCAACAGAAGGCTGCAACTAGAAAGGGCAGCAATGGAGAATTAGGAAAAGTCTCCAAGAGCAAAAATGTGTCATTAGAGACCTAGGCTAAGATCGTCCACACTCTGGTATTCCCGATTACTACGTACGGATGTACAAGGTGGACAAGAAGGCTGACAAGAAAACAATGGATTCATCTGAAACATGGTGGTTGGTGGATTGCTTTACAGATACTCCAGCCCACTAGAAAGATGAATAAGTAGGTCATAGAACAAATTAAGCCTGAAACATTTGCTTGAGGCAAAAATGACAAAATTGAAACTGTCCTACTTCAGGCACACTGTAAGAAGGGAGGGTTCTTGGGAACAGACAGTAATGCTGGGAAAAACAGGATAGCAGGAAGAGAGGAACACCAATGTGAGACAGGTTGGCTCCGTAAGAAAGCAACAGGTCTCAGTCCACAGGAGCTGAGTAGGGTACTGAGCACAGGACACTGTGGACATCAGTCATTTATGAGGTTGCCAGGAGTCAGGGACACTCAATGGTATGTAATACACACAGAGTAATGAGCCAAGAAGTATGGGGCCTAATAATTCACAGAGCTGATATTTTTTCTGAAATGCTATAGTTAGCTATGTATCAACTTTTCAAAGAATAAATTCTGTTTTAAAAAACAAGAGATTCAAGGATGAACAAAACTATAAAATATTATTCCAAGAACTCACAATCTCGTTTAAAGAGATAAAATTCCATTGTGCCCACAATGATTTTCTCAACTGTAGCACGTGGTCGTTCTGTTCCAAGAACAGAAGGTTCTGTTCTTTGTAATGTGGATGTTTAAGGGCCAGACACGAGACTCACATTAGAATGCAATTCATGACTTGACAGGGTAATTTACTGGCCATGGTGTTCAGAGAAAAAAGTGCTTTAATACTACTGGAAATTCACTACATTGGGCATATCTTCATAATTCTGATTGATACTATGAGGATTGAATGGGGGAAATTAGAGAAAGATATTTAAAATAAAAACATAAAACTCTGGTTATACAATTCCTTCCAGTTACACAATTCCTTTGGGTTACAGAAAGAATCCTTCATAAATCTGCAGGAATAAATTATTGATCTATTCAAACCTCTGCCATTAAGCAGTACAGTTACCTTGTAAGTCTGGAAGACTCTTAAAAGAGTTATGGATTATTGTAGAAACACTTAACTTCTCAGTAAAGCTGCCACAGCCCTACCTTTACATTGTTCAGTTGACCGCGTGAGGGGTGAGAGTAAGAATGAGAAGGTATGTGCCCTGTGTGTACTGAAAGAAGTGTAAATTATGAACTGTATTCCTTCTGATGCAATCATGGAATGGCTTTGCCACATTTGCTCTAATAGCTGACAGCATCTGTAAATTCTAAACCTAGATGGATATTGGGAAGCAATCATGAAGCAGTTAATAAAGCACTCACTGTGTGCCTAGAACTAGGCTTGTTACAATGGGGAAACAGAAAAGTAAGGAGACACATATGGGTCTTAACTTCAAAAGCATAAGATCCAATTTAAAATGTGCTGTAGAGATTCTAAATATTATGTTTATGTTAATCTAATGTCCTTTCTTACGCCCATATCCTTTCCAAAATAGGCAGGTTGATTTGAGCTTTGCTATTTTAATGAGTGTAACGATAATGTTTGTGAAAGTTATAAAGTAATTTTATATTTATACTTTAAAATAATAATTCATTTACCCCTTAAATCTATGCACAGTCAAAATTATCCCCATTTCATAGAGAAGGAACTAGACATGAGAGAAAACACTTGTAAGTCATATCAGAACAAGAATATGAATTTGTGGGCTTTAAACCTCCAGCCCTCGTAAGTTCTCATTTCCTCCCTACCTCCTAATTCAGGAGTATCAAACTCATTTTCACCGGGGGCCACATCAGCCTTGTGGTTGCCTTCAAAAGGCTGAATGTAATTTTAGGACTGTATAAATGTAACTTCTCCTTAACTAGGGGCAAGGAGCTTGGCACTGCCACCAGGTAGAAACAAGGTGCTGGGCCAGATAAAACAAGATGGAGGGCTGCATTTGGTTCACAGGCCTTGTGTTTGCCACCTGTGTTCTAATTTATAAAATGGCTTATGTGAATGCATATACAGAACTTACTTACTAATCAACTGTTCTTCCAGTGTTAAAATAATTAGGACTAGAAAGAAAAACTACCATTTAAAGTCCTATACAAGTCAACAGACACAGAAACCTAACCCAGTACTATTTCAAATTTCGGCTGCTTAGGTTGCAGCCTAACTGGGATTTGGTGCATACGTCTGGGTCACAGGGTAGTCGTCAGGAAACAGACCAAACCGCTGAGGCAGAGTTTGAAATCACTCTAACATGTGGTTCATTTTCGAGGTTCAGAATGAAGTCCTAACTGGGAAAGCTCTAGAGACAGGAGTTTGGAGCAAAAACTAAACAAGATATAGGAAAACACTTGCTTGATCTAAATAATGATCATCTGGGTATTGGAAATCAATATCCTGATACATCCTATCCTGTTCAACATCAGTGAACAAGCATAAAATTTGTTACAAACCAGTATGAATGCTTAAGTCACATCTCAATCAGTGAATCAAATCCATCCTTTAAGACACAAGTTACTTCTATTATCTGTAGATGTTTGGCTTCTAAAAATAGGGGCATAACTTGTTAGTGTACTACAGTGTAAATCAAATTACATGGATTCTAAAAACACCAATTCACCTTGAGGAGGAGCTTATTCATTGGAGAAAATGTCCACTTACTAAATTTTGGTGAGAAAACAGGAAAAAAAAAAGGACTGCAAAATAATCCAGGTTGACAGAATATACAGAATATCCCCTCAGCTAATGTTATCGCAATAAAAAAGCATCACAAATAGAAATCATTATTTTAAATATAAATAAAACATTTTCATATAAAATGTATTGTTGAATTTGAAAGTAAGTCTAAACTTTCTTGTAATATAGTCTCCAGGACATCAGCTGTTGCAATAGGGACTCGAGGATACCAAGTAAATGAATATTATAATTTGCATTAATGGTTTTTAAACCTTACTTTTTAATTGACCTTTTAACATCTGTCTTAGTAAGATATCTTCTGTTGCTCTGACTGGTGTCACTTCGTTGGGCATCATTCCACAAAGAGAAAGGTTGCCAGTTTGATTCCTGGTCAGGGCACATGCCTTGGTTGTGGGCCTGGTGTTTGGTTGGGGCACGTGCGGGAGGCAACTGATCAATGTTTCTCTCCCTTCCTCCCTCCCCTCCTCTCTAAGAATAAATAAATTAAATCTTTAAAAAAAATATTCTGTTAAGGATTTGGATTATATTTGGTCTTTAACAAAAATATAGATAATTTATATATCATAACAAAGATATATAGTTGTATATTATATATCATATATGTATATATAAGTATATATGATTATATATAATCTTTTTTGTCAGTTTTATCCATTTCAAGGATACTGAGTAAATGAACATTATAATTTGCATTAATGATTTTTAAACCTTACTTTTTAATTAATCTTTTAACATGTATTAGTAGTAAAAAATATCTTCTGTTAAGAATTTGGATTATATTTGGTTTTTAGCAAAGATAAATATATAATCTATATATAAAATAACAAAGATATATAACCATGTAACATTATAATTATATACAATATATACTTATATATAAGTTTATCTAAGTATACTTATAAATAAGATATTAAATATACAATTTTTGTCAGCTTTATCTATTTCAAGGAGTTTTCAATGAACAATAAAGTTTGTTTTAGACAACAAATCAGAAAATACTTTCTATGGTGGCTTCCAACTGCATTTTTAACCCCAAAATGGTATCCAGAGCCATTTTAGGCAACATCATAACCAAAATATAAATAGCAGGAATTCACGTTCCTTTAAACACAGTGAGCTTCTTAGGCTAGCAGGGTCCTGTTCACTTAACCCCATGGAAGCACAGAATCAGAGCAATAAAGGTCAAGGGTTAGGAAGTGAACATAAAGGACAGGCATTAACATAAACCATATACTATCTGAATGTTTTGTTTCACAGAAATAGTTTCCTACATATTTTTTTAAAGATTTTATTTATTTTTAGACAGAGGGGAAGGGAAGGAGAAAGAGAGGGAGAGATACATCAATGTGTGGTTGCCTGTCACATGCTCCCTTCTGGGGACCTGGCCTTGCGACCCAGGCATGTGCCCTGACTGGGAATTGAATGGGCGATCTTTTGGTTCGCAGGCTGGCGCTCGATCCACTGAGTTACATTAGCCAGGGCTCCTGTGTATTTTCAATATCACTTTTCAGGAGTAGCTGTTGTCACCCAAGGACTGATTTCCTGCATTGTCATCATCTTTTACACCAAAATGCTCCTTTTCAAGTTCCTTACTGTAATTGTTACTAGCAAATACTGTCATAATCCTCTAGTTCAAGACATGAATATCTGTGTAGTACTTAGTTTCCATTATAAATAATAAAGGTATAAAACAAATAAGGTTGCCATTCTTTTTTATACTGCAATAAATATACAAGAATGAGTATAAATTATTTTTTATAAAAATGCAATTTCTAACCAGTTTAGAACACTTCCAAACTATCAGGACATGGAGTATGTATTTACTCTGTTATAGAATGCCAGTCACATGAGATCTGAAAAATTCTTTATTGGTAGCCACACAGTTGACTATAACATCTCTGTGTTTTCTTGCTATTCAAGAGAAAATATGCAATAACTACAGACTCTCACTGGATCTTTTAAAATTTTATAAAAATTGCCAAAGTCATGATGAATACAATTATTGTGGATATATCATTTGAAAAAGTAATACAAATTATGCTGCTAAAGACAAAAAACATTAAAACACATAAACATCACAATGTGACAGCAGTAACTTATAACTATTTAATATGAAAAATTAAATTTAAAAAATTGTATCAGAGAACTTGGGAATTTTTCACTTTAGCAAAACAATCTATATATATCTAATTCCTATGGTACAATAAAAATACTTTTAAAAGATATGACATTCAAATGCTTTATTTACACAAATAATATTGTCCACACTAATAAAAGTGATGCCCTAAAACATGAACTGCTCTGCTAATTGTAATTAAAAAAATGTTTTCTTTACTTCATTTTACATTTTTGTTAGCAGTTAGCATTACATATCAATCCGTTATGTGTTGACAAATACAGAGGATCCTAGTCAAAATACTGTTTCCCAAAAGTAATGTACATCATATTGCTTGAAACAAACAAATCATATAAAAGTGGTAATCATTTATCCAAACATTGATTATGAAAGACAACTGGCATATATTCAGGCAGAGTGTTGAGTTCATATTGGTTTATTTACAATAAAACTATTTTTACCGACACTAACATGATAAATAAGTTTCTATGTCAATTGCTACAGTCTCTTAAATTTATAAAAATATTATATAAAATACCACAGCCTTTAGAGGATATAAATTCATGTGGTTCTGATACTAGCAGCTGAAAAGTGTTTATAATTTAAAAATAAATAAACTATAGAGGTAAACCAGTTACAAAACAGCAGAGGACTGCAATGGTCACGACTGAAAAGAATTGCCTAATTATAGCTAGCAAAATGGTGAAGCAGTTGGATCAAAAGTTTTAAAAACCTCTTTCAGAGATTTGTCATCTGTTTCTCCACTGGGGTCATCATCTGGGGTGGGGCTCTGCTGTCCCATCTGCCTTGACTGCCTTGGATCACTGTACTGGGGTCTAATTAAGCCTGTTAATGCCTGAATGGGAAGACTATGCACTGCGGGGACCTGAACTGCACAGGAGCTCCGGAGAACATTCGCCTGTGGGTCAGCTGGCCCATCAACAGTGACTTCCACATTTGGGATGGTTTTCTGTGGCAGGATTTCTTCTCCAGGAGAAAGCTCATTTTTGTCACCGCTTTTTAAACCACTACCTTTTTTCTGGTTCTCTGCATTTTCTGTTGCTCGCTCTGGTGTGGATGAAGAACCATGTTCCCTAGGGTCATACAAACTAATACCACTGAGAACTGAACTTGGAGTCCCCAGTGGAACGCTGGCTGAAGATGAGAGTTTAGGGGCATATGGAGGCAAAGTCCCAGGCCCAGAGTTGCTGGTTACTGCCACGGAGGGCTGTGACACACCAGGGCTTGGCTTGGCTAAGTGAGGGGCACCCTTTGATGCATGTGAATCCTTCGTAACTGCTTGCTGAGAAGCTGCACTGTGCAGTCTGTGAAGTCTAGGATCACATTTTTTTTGCAGCCTGGGGTCTCCTAATTTACTTGCTGAACTGTGCAAGTCCCCAAATTGTTCCAGGTAGCCTTCTCTGTTTGTTGTATTAATTTTGGCTTTGGCTGCTACTTTTGAATCGATGGGCACTGTGCTTTGATGGAGATCACTTTTTGCATTCCATAATCTACTGAGCCTCTGGTCAGCTATAAGCGGGGGCAGAGGTAAAGTAATTGAAGATACAGGGTCAGGTTTTGGTAAAGGGACTGGAAGTAAGTCTTCTGGAGCCCAAACAATGTGTTTTGCGAAGCTGGGCTTGGTGAGTGTAATATCCATTTTAATGTGACTGAACTGTCTCAGCTGCGACCTTGGATCCTGGAGCACTGCACCAGGGGGAGAGTCCAGAGGTATTAAGGAAGCTTTTTCTCTCAGTTCTCTTTCTGTGTCCTCTTCCTCATCATCTCCTCTCTTGTGTTTGACATTAGTGCCAGCATGTGCATGATGTAAATCACACTTGACTGCTCCAGCTGAGGAGCCTAGGTGCCCACTTCCATTCCCTCTTAGTTTCCTGGGATCCCACACAAGTCTGAGACCCTGTGTGGTAGACTCGGATTTTCTAATGTCTTGCCTTGGGATGGTCCTAAGTCGAGGATCAACAACCTGGTTTTCTTTACTCTTCTCTTTAGCAAGTCTTGGATCAGTAGGAGTGCCAGGTTCCAAGGAAGACTGTTGCTGATTCCTTAAAGTTTCTGTTTGTTTCTGTAATGTTTTCAGTATTGCTTTGACACTGCTCCCTTCATCCTCTTCGCTACTGGAATACCAGTTAACAGTATCATCTAAATGCAGACAAAGACTTATTATAAAGAATGAAGCCTTTGGATTTGGCCTTAATTAAGATAAAAAAGCACACGCTATTTCTGAAATAAATGTAGGGTTTCAACACTGGAATAAGATAGGATGTGGTATGACAATGATCAATTCCATTATTATAATCTATAAAGAAAGAGCTGTAATATTAGAACACATGCAGTGTCGTTCCAGCCAGAGACAGTTGGGGCCTCATTCTAATTGGCCAAAGAGAAGTTAGCATGGATGTGGTATAATAGGGTTCAGGTAGAAGGGAAAATACTCTGGGAAAGGAATATTAAAAAGCTTTGGATCTCTTTAATTCAAGCATCCCTTAGGCTCTGGATTTATCAAGATAGCAATGGGAAGACATAAAAATATATTTGGAAAGAAAACAAAACACTAATAAGGAAGCAATGGGAACTGAGCAAATGAGAGGTGAGGTAGAGATTGTTTATTTATAGTTTACTATATTTTGAGATGTAGTAAATTTTTTAAATGTGGCTACATTAGCTATTCAAGCATTAAATTAAACATAACAAATAAAACTAACATGCTTAAGTTTATATACTTGAGCTTTATGAGAACACTTTGGGCCTTACTCCTAAAGTGTGTTTATCCCTCATGTGTTAGACACAATGTTAAGAAGCTGAACTATCTATCGGAGGCCTGCTCTCTAGTCAAGTAAAAGGTATGATAGGATGAGTCTCCTCTTCTCCCTTCACAGACACAGACTGACTGAGTTGGAGACACACACACACACACACACACACACACACACACACACACACACCTATTTTAGACTATCCTGGATCAACAGACCATTGTAGATATTCCAATTTTACCTCCTTGCACTGCTTACTAATATTTTCTACCACATGAAACTCTAGTGTTACATACTTAAGTTTGAACCGAGCAGTGCTCACAAAACGAGAACTTTTTAGAGCAGGAATGTGGTTAGATGTAGAATACATTATGTCACAATGGCAAAAGGTTTGACTGGTATCTCAGGGTCTGGGAAAATGACTTCTAGACACTAGGTCTCTTTCCTTCTTTTCTTTGACCCCAAAGTCTAGAGCTGGGCTTGTGAATCACTTTAAATATTTCTGAAGAGTAACTTCACTCCTCACAGAATTTGTTACCTCATCCAAATAGGTAAGATGCTATCTTATTCTCACTTTCATGTCAATATATTTTATAAGCAGTAAAATCCCTTTTGGAATGACAATGAATATAGAACAGAAGGAAAGTGGGACAGCAGAGGTCAACAGAAAGCAGATACTAGATAGAAAATTATGGTTAACAGTTTTCTATCAAAGAACAGCTAATTTATAAGGGCATTAAAATCGATAAATGCAAACACAAAGAAGCCCTAGCTTGTCACAACTTTTTCTGTGTACAGAGAAAACAACACTTATAAAACATCACCAAAAATTGTATAATATTATAGTATAAAATCTATCATTCAGAAAAGTTTTGATTTTTTTTAAATTAAAAAAATCCTCCCATGAGAATATGTTTACTGATTTGAAAGAAATATTGATGTGAGACAGAGACATTGGTTAGTTGCCTCTTGAACGTACCCCAACTAGGGATCAAACTTGCAGCCTTTTGGTGTACAGGACAATGCTCCAACCAACTGAGCCACCCAGCCAAGAATGATTTTCTTGTTTATGAAAGCATGAAGCTCTGTAAGACTTTATAGAAAGCCTACCATTAAATAGTTGTTTCTAGAATTAAGTTTTCGCATTTAAAGGAATAAACATAAATTGTACAGGAAATGAAGTTATTAGGAATCCCTCATTTCCCTGTGATGTTAAATAAATGAAGAGTTATAGAACAAATAATGTTTACATAATAGCTTTTAACTACCTAATTTTGTTTATATACATATACATAGTTTTACATAGTTCTTCATAAATTCTATGTTTAAAAATGGCCAACTATATCAATTTTGTAATTTATAATAATTGGATGTTTTAAACATCTCTTTTAACTAAATCAACTGCTGTACACTTATCAATATCAAAAATACTAAGGTAAATTTATTGTCTGCATATAATCTTTTATATTAAATATAATATTCCTTAATCATATAGCAGAATCTGAAGTATACAGACTATGCCCATAAAAATTTCTCTAATAACTGAATCATTTTGAAGTTAGTCTAGAAGTCAAAATTCCTGAACCGTAAGGTATCCTGTTCCTTTTCTGTTTCTTTTCTTCCAAAACAAAAAGTCTGTTCACTTAGACCTTACACTCTAATTTCAGATCTAATCACTGGTTCAACTCAAACGCTCTGAAATTAACTGCTAAAATGTTGACAGTGCTAGAAACTACAATCTCCAAAAGAAAGGAGCTACCAGGTAAACCGAAAATAGGATAGATAGTTCAGAGGAACTCATTTTTAAACATTAACCTATTCAAAGGCATTTCAGGAAATGAATGACCCAAACAGGCAAGATGCTGCCATAACATCTGACATACCTTCTTCCTTGCTGGGTGCCCTCTGAGGTTGGGTGCTGCTTGGTTCTTCACCTTCTTGGTATTTCTGAGTAAGTCTAACAAAAAGAGCTCTCTGCACTGCAGGGAGGAGACATGGTGCAGGCAGGGGATCATGGCCTGTCATGTTACTGCTGCCATCACACCCACTCCCATGGTGAGAGGAGTCTTGAAGAATGGGAGGCTGATGCTGAGCAAACTCACCATGCCACAGCCCATCTACACACATAACATGGAAAAAGACAGACATTAATTCATCACAAAACTCCACTAGGGAATACCACTGTAAATTATAAGAAATTGAAGCTCTAATGATAATCACATTTGGTTAGCAAATTAGTGATTATAAATACTTTTTAAAGTTATCTCAAGTTCTACTGTTACAAATATTTGTTTAAATTTTAAACATTTTAAGGTCTAAATTTCATCACACTTTACACTTAGATTTAAAACATATTTTCTTATAATTTTAATGAAAAATAGGACTCCAAATATTTAAAATTAGAAGTGAGTTATTCTGAAAGGTAAACTTACCGCTAGAGTTATTAGGTGGCTGAAAATTAGGTACAGCATGATGTGAATAGTAATTATCATAAAACTCAGCTGGGTTTTGTAGGGACTCATAACTGGTGTTGAGCTGCATTTCAGAACCATGCAGGTGTGATGAGCCTGGAGCACAGTGATTTTCTCTGGGTACTTTTATCATGTGTTCTGTAAAGCCTGGACAATGGTATGCACCACTCATACCTGGTGCTGACAAGGATGCATCTGGCTGAACGAGTACTCCAGCTTGGCTGTGGGAACCTACCACTCCATGTGGACCAGGCGGCAAAGGTGGGCTCAGTGGCACTGGTAGACCAGGAGGTCCTGCACATGGATGATGTCCAGGGGAGCCTGGGTGCATCACAGGACTATTATGTCCCTGAGACATATTAGGTCCAGGACCTGGACTTGACCCAGAACTATAAATATGCTGAGGATGTGGGCTGCTTTCCTGAAATTGTGGTCCTGGTGGCGAGGCACTGCTATAAAATGCTGGTGGCCTGTAGACAGAAAGAATAATATTTCTTAGTTCAAAGAAAAAAGGGAAACAAGAAGGTCACATTTCTAAATGAATGTTAGTTACATGTGTTTTTCTCTATCAGAATAGAATACTTTTTCTAAGAAGCCATTTATTCCAAATTATCTGTAACTGGAAGTGCCCACATGTGGATCTTGACTTCACCTTAGCTCAGTTTCTTAATTGCTGTTTATTATCAGTTGTTCTAAAACTTACTCATTATTGGTATTTTGAAAAATACAGGAAGTACAAAGATAAATAAATCACCCCTAATCCCACCACCCAGAGATAAATGTTTTTGACTGATTCTCTTCTAGTTCTCATTGCAGTGTAGAGAGACTTGGAAGCTGGGTTAAGGATTCTATAGATTAAGATAATGGGAGGCAGCAGAGGATAGGGACACAGAGGACGTTGGGAGCAGCAATTGAGGTGTGTGCCACAACAGCTGCTATTTCTACTTGAGCTTACTCACATGATTAACAGGGATACAAGTTAGTTTCTTAATAAGAATGTCTAGGGGACAAAGACATGATGTTGGAGATGTTTGGCTCTTCTGGGAAGCTGTTATAAGGTTCAAGTGTCAAGTCCCAATGTTCTGGCTGCCCAGCTGTGCAACCTCAGCAGATTTTCTGCTAGACTATTCTGTGGTATAGCTGAGTTTTTCTCCTGGCTCCCTTTATTCTGGACTGCAAATAATACAAACTGGTCTCTGTGGTTTTGCCAGAAATTCTGTATGGTACTTACTGCTCTCTAATAAACCTCATCCTGCTTAAAAATAAATAAATAAATAATACTGGGTAATTTCTTTAAAAAAAAAAAAAGACAAAAAACAATAAATTTCTAGGGGGAAATTGCCACCATTTTTGAAATTTTTAACTTACTTCTTTCCAATCTTATGTGCTAAATCCACAGTAGGTTTTACAACTATTTCAAAAAGAGATGGAATTTTCTTGAAATCATCAGAGAGATCTGTCTGAAAATCATCTTCAGGATCAGAAAAGGGAAAGTGCTCTGCTGGAGTTGGCAGGAGCCCCACTCCCGGAGGGGGTTTGGGAAGAGGGGTTATGCCATGCTTCCTAAGTTCTTCTAACTCTCTTTCGTCCTCATTTGTGGGCTCCTCTTCAGTGTTCAATACCTGAAAGTGAGTAGCAAAGATTACATTAAAACAAGATTTCTTTTACATTTAAAACGATGACTTTAGTAAACTAGTTCTTTTAATAGAAAAACATATTAAGCTGCAATGGGTCATAGATAGTTAACTCATTTTTGATAAAGAGAATGAGGTTCAAACAGGTAAAGGATATTTCTCAAAATAAATTAACTTTTTAATGGCAGAACAAGAATGAGAATAAAAGACTTAATTCGTAGCCCAAAATTGCTGCTTTCCTAAAACACCGTATTAATGAGACATGGAAAAAGTCTTTGGCTTCTTAGCGGTTTTATAAAACATGATGCAAGTCAAACGAGTCTGTAGAGAGATGTAACAAATAATCAAGATAGAAAACTATTACTCACTTTGTCCAAAAGTTTCTTCGTTTCTTTAGTCAAATCATCATGTGAAAATTTACACTTGTCTCCTTGGTAACATTTTGCTCCACTATGATAGAACTTGCATGGAAATTCATGTAAATAAAAATATTAAGGAATAGACCAAATATAATCAAACTAATATTTTTAAACCAAAAACATAACTGTGCTGAATGAATGGGACTTTATGATTATATATTTTACTGAATTTTCTATAATCATATCAGATAATTTATTCTAAGATTAAATACTTTAGTTATGCATCAAACCATTCAAAAAATTAAAATTTCTTTTACTCTACCAGAACTAGGAAACATTTTTTAAAGACAAATATTTGTAATTGTTATGCACACCTTATTATTTTCCATAATAATAAAATGTTATGCAGAACAAATGAGTTTTGTAGCAAGACCTTACATCCATGAAGAATAAGGAGCTTGATATGTCCTGTTAAAGTCAACCCAACAATGTGAGCTATAGGCTGGTCTGACTTAAAGGTCTCACTCTAGGCAGTAGAGACAAACTTCTAAAGAAGACATTACACCTATAAGTATGGTGGAAAATACACCATTTTTCAGATGCTGTATGTTTAAAAAGAATTTCTGGATCGTTTTAGGAATTTATTACTGCAATCATTACATTGTTAAGGTCAAAAGAGCAAAATTACACGATCATCTTAGCAAGTACGAACAGTGACTAATAAAATTCAAAATCCTCTTTGATTTAAAAAACTCTTAGTAAAATAAGAATATACTTAACTTGATTTTTAAAAAAAATCTATTTTAAAACTATAGCCACAAGTTAAAGCAAAAGGAAATAATCATTAAAATGTGTACTGTCTGCCACAATCATCATTATTTAACATTATTCTAGACATGTAGCCAACACATTTAAAATAGGAGGTATAAATTATTATTTACAGATGGCATGACTGTGAGAAAAAAACATAAGGATATACTGAAAGCTTTCAGAGTTTAAAAGGTGTCTGATTTCTGAAGAAATATGTCAAATCTAGAAAAAATGTTATTTCTTTTTCTTGAGTAAGACAAATTTACTACAATATTTTGATCAAGAAAGGAGGACCGTTTGCTACACACTTACAGAGGGAATGGTCAAACAGCACCAAGTGTAACAGTAGGGCAGAAGCTGAACTGTGCACACAGGGAAATTTGGGATCTGGTAAAGGTGCCATTTTAAATCGCTTGAAGATGAGAGAATGAGTTAATCATTTGGAAAAAAATTAGGTTCTTACTGCACATTATATATTAAAATAGAATCCATATGAAGTAAAGATGTAAATGCTAAATAAAAATACAACCTTCACAATCATAGCTTAATCACATTTTTATAAAAATTAGGTGTAAATGTTATCTCCACTCACAAACTTTAGCATAGAAAAAAATCTGAAAGACTTTATGCCATACTGTTAGCATAATTATTCCTGAAGAGTGACATTACTTTGCGTTATTTTTAAGTTAGCTTTAAAATTATCAAACATATACCAAAATAGAGAGAATAATATAATCAGCTCCCTCATGCTGGCCACATCAGTTTAACAATTTCACCATCTGTCCCTTTTGTGAGATCTATGCCCCCTATACTCTCCTCACAACTCTCCCTCAAAAACACATGAGTATTCAAAAGCATATTCCAAATACATTTAATATGTGAGCACCTCCATGTTTATTTCATATAGACAAGGAATATTTTTCTTAACAATCACAACCTTATCAATATGAAACATTAATGCATCTGTTTTACCTCTTTATCTACTACTACCCTGTCAACATACAAATTTTTCAAACTGTTTCAAAAAGTCTTTTTATAATTGCTTTGTTCAGATCAGGATTGAGATGAGATCCACACACTGGATCTAGTCAACATATATCTCAAGTTCCTTTATTGATCCCCATAAATTCCCACACCTTTTATTTTTTTATCATTTATTTGTTAATTTTAAACTTGTCATAGGTGTTTATTAAAATAAATACTCCCTATTGCATCATATCAAGAGGCATTTGATGTCTAATTGTTTCTTTTTAGTACTAAGATTGATCAGTTGGTACAGGTAGGTATTGTCAGCCCATTTCATCAATTACAGTTTCTCATCAACTTTCTACTTAATGATTTTAACAGCCATCAATAATCACTGCCCAAATCCATTAATTCACCAGAACTTGCAAAATGGTAGGCTGTTACGTCAGAGGGTGAACTCATGTGTAATTCTGCCAACACTTCCCAGCTCTCCTCCACAAGGATGCCCCATTTCACATTCCCAGCAACAAAGTCTCAGCATATCTATTTTTTCACAACTGTGCTAACAAAATGTGCTGTCACATTGTGGGGAAGGGGGGATTTTTACAAATCTGATGGCTACAAATGGTATCTTGGGCATAAAGTGCATTTCTCTTATTATAAACAGGATCGAGCATCTTTTCCTGTGTTTTGGGTCATTTGCATTTCTCTCTGTGAATTATCTATACCTCTTACTCCATTTTTCTTCCCAATATTTAGAAATTCAGATATCAGGCCATTACCTCTTTGTAAGTGACATAAGTTGCAAACAACTTTTCCCATTTTATTATTTATCTTTTACTTTTCTTATGCCATATTTTTGTTATGCAAATTTAAAAATTTTTATGCAGTCAAATTTTCAATCTTTTCCCTTATTCCTTCTGGATTTTAAGTCATACTTCTGTTTGAATAATAAAAAATTACATCCATATACACCTCTCATATTTGTATAGTTTTATCTTTATATTTAGGTCTATGATAATAGGGATATTTTTACTTTCCTTTTTTATATTATTTTTTGAACTAGACAAGACTACTTTAAATTCTATCTGGAAAAATAAATGTGAGACTCTACCAAATATCAAGTATGCTGGTGAGGTGGAAATAATCACAGCAAAGCAGCAAAGGTATGAGAACAAACCAATAATGGAGCCAAGCTGAAACTCTAGAACAAAAACATGGATATAAAACACTTCATCATGATAAAGATGAGTTTCAGATTGGGGGAGAAAGACTCCATTAGTCATTAATTGTAGTGAAAAAGCAGCTAGATATTTTGGAGGTGGGAGAGTTAACACAGACAGATATACTATATATTTTTTTAAAGGACTACTATAAACATACAGTGATATACCAGTTTAGGTGGGGACAGGCGTACAATTTAGATATATAGATTTCTAAAGGAAGAAGCAGGGAAGAATATACAGTGATAACTGGTGGTAAGATTTGATGAGACTTTGATTTTATAGTATACAACAATGATAATTTATTACTTATGAACCTAAGTAAAAATAATTAAGTCATAAAATAAATATTTTGCCACCTACTCCTTCAGGAACCACATGCTATTGAAATAGTTATGAGTACATTAAATACACAGTATCTTTATTTCACAGATTTTTTTCCAAAGGGAAGTTATTTATTTCATTTCCCTAAAGAATAAAACTTAGTCTGCCTTTTTGAAGTAAAATGGTTGACTAGATTTAGTTTATGTAATGTGTTGTTTTAAATTTAAAACCAAACTAGGCTTTCTAGGTTGTACATATGATTTTTAAACCCCTCAATTATGTTTTCAAACCTCAGTATTTTGGTTAACATATTTTTAGTAAAGGATATTATGCATGTAAATGCAGTTCTCCCCTTTAGTACAATATCCTTGTAAATAAAATTTGCAGATCTCTTTCTTCTTCTCCAACTCTGCATCATGATCAAATTTACATTGATCTCCCTGTTCACAAAAAGAAAAGAGAGGACGAAAAAAGGCACAATTGAATTGGATATTCTCCATGGCATTTCATAACTGAACTACGGTTATATCTTCAGTCTTTAAATAATGAGCTAATAATAATTCAAACAATTCCTTTGAGTTTTTGCCCAAGATGTTGGGTGTGGCTATGTGCAGAGCACACAGTGCCATGGCCCCAGGGGCCTCTGCCCACTCACCATGTCCAGCTGAGCTTCTGTGGGGCCTCTGGTGTGGCCATGTTTACAATGGGTCAGTAACAGTAACTACTTCCTAGGGTTGTTGTACAGATTAAATCATTTAATATTAGCAAACCACTTTGAACAGTAGTTGCCACATAGTCAGCACTGTTTATTTAAAAAATGTAATTTCAACAAATTACATTATTGTTCTAAAATATAATGAAATAAATTCTGATGTATATAGTATTTCCATCGAGATACATTTTGAAGAACTAGTTCTATTACAACTAAATGAGAAATGAAAAACCTAACCCCCATCAAAGGCTTAAATTTTAAAGAGTATTTTGGAAGTAAAATGATTTATGATACTGCTATAAATTTACCTTAATACATCTCCCTTCCAGAAAGTATTTACAGATTTGTTTTCCTTTGTGTTCCACTGTGTGCTGATTAATAAATTCCTGAGTCATTACCTTCCATTTTTTCCCTGGTTTATTATACTGTAAGAAAAAAATTTATTTTAATGCAACATATACAAATAGGTATAAAATGTACAGTCAAATGGATCTGGAAAGCAGTACAAACTATTAAAAGTGGTCACTATGAGACATTGGAGAGATAAGCTTCTTCAATGATTTTCAAGCTGCTTACTGCTACTAGTGGTTGCAAACCCTGTTGCTACTTTAATGAAGACACATAATTACATTAAAAAATAAAATTATAAAAAGCTTGAAAATTAACCATAATATTCAGTTTTGGCAAAGGAACAATAAAACATGCACTCTCACATAGTATTGATAGGTATGCTATAAAAGATTTCAAATATCTATATTGTTTGACATTTAGGATTATTCTAAAGCACAGGTGGCAAACACAAGGCCCATGGGCCAAATTTGACCCTCCATCTTGTTTTATCCAGCCCAGCACCTTGTTTCTACCTGGCAGCAGTACCGAGCTGTCATTTAACTGTTAAGAAGTAGTAACATTCACACAGTCCTAAAATTACATTCAGCCCTTTGAAGGCAACCACAAGGCTGGTGTGGCCCCCAGTGAAAATGAGATTGACACCCTGTTCTAAAGGAATTATCAGGGAGGCCCACAGAGGTTTATTCATAAAAATAACTACTGCAGAACTACTTCTGTAGTGGAAAAAAAAACCTAGAAACATTCTACACATCTAAAATATATCCCAATTTTATAATGAAGATAAAAAACTAAAAGAATATGTCTCCGTATTTAACAGTATATGTCTCCAGATGAATCTCTAAAATATTAGAGATTTTTTTGCATGTGTGGTTATTTTGTATTTTTTTTTAGGGAAAAAACTCAGGGAGGATGTATTACCTTTAATTTATAAATTTAAAAATATTAAGGGAAAAACGTGTATGCTGGAAAATTTCACAGCTCTAGTTGTTTTCCTTGGCTCTCCTCAGTCCCCAACTTGACTTCTGTTGAGTGTAAGAAGACTGAGTCAGGACAGGGGATGGTGTCTGGCCATGCTAAGGACTGCTATTCATGACGTTATGGAACAGCGCTGTTCTTCAAGCCCCCGGCATGCATGTGGTGGTGCGCTGTAGGAGTGCAGTGAGTATTTTTCCTTCTGATTTTATTCCAGTTTTCTCCTTTCCTTCAATTTACTAGAAGACTGAGAACAATGTTGTACAACCTACTGAAAATAAGAAGGTGCCTCATGGCAAACACTTGGCCGCAACATGCGGCTAGACTTAAATCTGATCTTCAGTGCTCATAGCTGAAATATACGTTATAATATAAGAATTCTTTTAAAAAACACAAGAAGGTCCTAGCAGGGTAGCTCAGTTGCTTAGGGTGCCATCCCAATACGCCAAGGTTGTGGGTATGATCCCTGGTAAGGGCACATACAAGAACCAACCAATGAATGCATAAATAAGTGAACACCAAGTCAATGTTTCTCTCTCTCTCTCTCTAAAAAAAAAAAATCAATACAATTTTTTTTAATTTAAAAAGCAAAAAATACCAAGAAAACAGATAATCCTAGAGGTTCTATTTAAAAATATAAGTACACCTAAATTGACCTAGGAAAGCACAATAAAATTACTTATAGTATACTCTAATAGGATCATTTACAATGTCTTAAATCTATGTATATTTGACTTTAAAACATTTTCTATTTACAGGCTCACTTAAAACAAGTAGATATAAATGACCAGCTCACATATGCTGTCTGTACAAAGAATCATGGCTCTAGTAAAATAGACAGCCAAAGAGAAGTTCATCATGCAAAGTCAGTAAGTCAAGTTGAGGAATAGAACTCTCAAACAGTAAAAATATTTGGTGATTATTACCAAATCCCCTGAAAAATGCACCAAGTAGTACCTATGTTTTATTAATAACTTAGTCTTTCTGTCAGTCTATGTTACTTTCTAATGATATGCCTCAGTGTCTCAATAGAGGATTTGGGTTTTTTGTTTTGTTTTTTCAGTTTAGTTCTGCTCAAATGAGTAGAAAGTATCTCATAACTATGAGAAACCTACCTGTAATCCAAGTATTCTAGAAAATCAAAGCAATTTTAACAAATAAAATTTTAGGACAAAATAAAGTACCTATAAGATCTGATCTTTTAAGATTGAGCCTACAGAAGAACCACAAAAGTCCTCTTATTAAGTAATTCCTAGAAGAATCACAGAAGTAATTTGGTTCATCACCCTCCCTGGACAAATATGAAAAATGCAATTAGAGAAGTTAGTGACTTACCAAAAGTCCCATGGCATATTTGCAGAGTCACTTAAGAAAACACAACTCAACAAAAAGGGAGGGAAAGGAAAACTGGAGGGAGAGAGGGAAACCCAAACCACCTACTGGGTCATTTTAATTTATTTACTCTAGAGGATGTATTATATTAGTACAAGGAACAAGAGCATTAAAGATGTTTTAAAAATACACTAGGAAGGGTATATAGAATGATCTACCAGGAAAAGAACATGTATTTACAGAAAATGTATTAGTTACTATAAAGACTAAAAAAATTTAAGAATCTTATGACCAGTAGAATGAATGTCTTTAAAATCCATTGAAAGTTGGCTTGTTCTGTGACAACGCTTGGGTTTTCAAGAAAACTAGTGCAGATGTGCAGGCATCCCTGAATTTATATGGCCTCTGGGGCTCTTACACTCCATGAAAAGGCTAGGATGGAAGTTGATCTACACTGGCCACTCAGCCATGCCCACTTGATCACAGAAGGGCCTGAATGTGAGCACTGTCCCGCTTATTTCTAAGATCACAAGACAATATCTATCATGACAACCCATAAACTGACATAGTCAGTGACATATTTTAAACTTAATAAATAAAAGAAAAATAGTCTAAATCTGATGAATGCAAAAGAAAGAATTTATTCTCACTTTCTATTATAGGATAAAGATTTTTTTACTTGCAGCCCAGATATGTAAATATCTAAAATGTTAGTGAAGGGACCCTTGGAGTTAATTTAATACTACTCTAGGTACTCTCATTTTACTGATTAAACAAACTGAAACTCAGAGACAGATAGCCACTTGCTTGAATAGCCATGCTTTCCTGGAAGTTTTTTTTTTTTTTCCTTTCACGTATAGGGTGTAGGTAATGCATGTAAAAGAAGGCTTACTTAGAAAGTATTCACACTAATTTAGTCTAGGGAAAGCAGCACATTCTAGAGGTCTACTAGTGTAGCAAGATGCACAGGCAGGTTAGAACCACCCAGAAATCCTAGGCTTGTTTCAAAGCTATTCAAAGGAATGTCAAACAGACTTCTCTATGCCTAATCTGCCCAAAGCCTTTATATGTTACCGCTGACTGAGAATCCCTAAGAGAAGTGTGGCATATTCAGGGTTCCCCAAATTTGTCTGGGCCTGAACTTCCTTTTTAGCCCATACCTATCAACACCTCCCTAAGTAGTATATTAAGGAGTACAATTGAAGAAATTTTTACCCATTATCTTTAAGCCCAGAGATAAGAAAGCCAAGCATTAACAAGTACAATATAGTGCTATCCCCTTATCTCAATCACGGTTGTAACTGTATAACCCACCCTTGCTCTGTAAATTCAGTCACACGTCACTGGAACCATGGCAGAATACAGAAAATACAAAGTTGCTACAGTTGAAATGTACATGTTTGAGTTCATTTCATCACATATTTATTCAATATCTAACATACATATGGTTCATCAGTTCATCTTTCCAACTGTTTATATCCCCTTTTATTCTCTTCCAATGTTCAACTCTAGTAAGTTAATTTACCATTATCTCCCTTCTTGGCACTACTACATATTATTACCATTTTATTGCTATTTGCATCTGGGGAAAATGACTCTAGCAAAGGAAGGCCTAACAGAGAACTACCAAACACACATTTTTGCTGTCAAACATATCACTTTTATTTTGAGGTGCTTTCAAATGTTACGATTTTGTTTGGAAATCACCTAAGTTTGCATCTCTATATTAGAATTGTGACTAATTAAAAAATAATTATTTTTTGGAATTTATTTATACTCATTTGATCTGAACTGGGAATTTGTCATTTAGTAGGAAAATAGCATTAAAATCACAATGTTTTCTTTGCAGCCAAATAGGTTAAAAGATGGAGAAGCTACTCTCCTCATTATGTATAAACTCTCAGTACCTCTTGAAAGTCATCCATTCCTGAAAACATATGGGGCCCTTTACTGGCTCTTCCCCCACGGTCTTTGCGCTTCATTTTCTTCAGCATACCTCGTCCACGACCAACATGAAAAGTTTTAACCCTCTGTTCAATACCTAAAAAAGTTAAGATGTACTTCAGATATTATAGAAAAACAGCACACCTGTCAATATATTAGTTTGTAGGAAACAGTTTATTTTTAATAGTCTATAATGTACAGTGCATTTTTCCCCTCTAGATTCAATGAAAAATATTAATTCAATCTTTACATTTTATTTCCTGAGTACTGTGCTTCTTATTCTTTTGCTTGAGAGATGTTAACAACATAAGGAAGACAAGGAACAAGGATGTACATGGCTGGAGAAGTCAAATTCAGTTTCATTTTTTTCAATTTTCTTTAGAATAAATAATACCAAGGCTTCTTGTTTTTTAGAGAATTAAATATTATATTCATCTTTATGGAAAACACTGTAGGTATTAGTGGTTAATTTATAGCAAATTGAGTTTTTATTGATAACTTTGGGTAGATAACACATACATCTCCATGTAAAATTTATACTTGTCTTTTACTTTTGATAAGTTGTTATTTAAAAGTATCTAAAAAGATACCCAAATGGCAATAGTTATGTATTAGGGTAGGAAGTTAAAATACAAAATGATTTTACCCAATCTTATTTTACCAAAGTCATAGTGAACTAATAAATTTTCAAATGATCTTAAACCTACAAAACAGCCAGTGAATATATGAAAAACATGTTTCACCCCATTAAAAAATTAAAATTTAAAAAATAACACACCAATTTTCACCTCAAATTATAGCATGGGTAGGGACTTGGAGAGTTTGGTATTTTCACACACTAGCAACATGTTATAAACTGCTACCTCACCTTTTTGATTTATTAACTTGGTATGTGAATCAAAAATCTTCAAATATGTGGCTATGTCTTTTTAATCAATTCTACATTTCAGAATTTATTCTTAAGAAAAATGTTTGCCAAGATGTTTTCTGAGATATGTATAAATATGCAAGATTAATCACAGAATTTTAAAAAACTGAGAGCAACTTAAATCTCAAATAATTACTGTATTTTGCCATGTATAATGTGCACTTTTTGCCCAAATTTTTGTGGGAAAAATAAGGATGGACATTATACATGGGTAGTACTAATTTCTATCTATATAAATGATTTTAATTCTTTTAGTTATGCTTATGCATTAAAAGCATAACTCTAGAAAGCAATAACAATATCTGTATGCAAAATAATACCCTGGAACACAATAATTGGTTTTGGTGAACTCGTGACCAATTTGCAATGAAAGCAGTTGCGGCCAATGACTCAAAGAAATGAAACAAAGAGAAATGTATTGTTATCCAGAGTAAGACAGACAATGCCAATTGTCACCCACTTGATGAGACAGGTGATGGCGACATTATTACCATAGGGTGAACAGTGCAGCTTTTCTCTTCATGCACTTTAGGTGGGAGAAATTATTGGAAAATCCCTTGGAAAATGTCAAAACAGTTTTCATACACGGTAAGCCTTAGGCTAAAAGGTATTAGTATGCTAAAAAGCATGGCAGCAGGGCTGCCGAGAGACACGCCGGACCTCCTCCCACAGGGAGTGTCATCAGACTGTGAGGCAATAGGAAGAAAAGCTCCTTCAGATGCCAGGACAGAAGAAGACAACAAGAGGGAAGCCTCTGAAGTGGCCGGAGGTGGGGCAGAAGGCAAAGACCAGGATTCGGGAGCAGCATCAAACTGGGATCTCTGTTTTAACCAACATGATACAAGGTAAAAGGATTGCATGAGAAAAAATACTGATGATCTCTCAGGGACACCTACATGGTGCTTTAACTTTGTAGAGGAGGTTTGAGCATGAGGACATGAATGAAACTTTCCCCCAAACTTCCGGCAGCCTATGAGACCCAAGTTTCAGAATTTCATTCTTATGTGACCAACTTCAAAAGACTCACAACTTTGAGCTGCCCCAAATCACCTACATGTCCTGCAAGCCAGCAGAACTGTGGACATCAAAGGAGCAAACACTATGGCTATTCAAATGAGTGGTCAGGAGAAAAAACATTTCACTGTTGTTCTAGCCTGTCGTGCAGATGGGACAAAGTTATCAACTATGATATCTTTAAAAGAAAAACATTTCCGAAAGATTCCAAGTGGAGTTATTGTCCATGTGCATGAAAAAGGATGCATGAATGAAGAAAGTGTGAAAATCTGGTTTAACAAAGCCTGGTCATGAAGGCCTGGAGGATTATTTGAAAAGCCAGCTTTGCTTATTTTTGATCACTTCAAAGCCATGTTACAGAAAGTGCAAAAGCAATCTCAGCAGACTTGAAAACCTAACTTGCAGTGATACCTGGTGGGTTAACCAGCCAACTACAACCTCTTGATGCTCTAGGGCTCTTTCAGGCCCTAATAAAGAGAGTGGACATCGTGAATGCAGTCAGCTGATAATGATTTCGTGCCTACAGGCAGGATCAAGAAAGCATCTGTTGCCTAGGTTTGTGATTGGATCCTAAGATCCTGGAATGGTGTCAAGGAGGAAGTGGTTGTGAACTTGTTTAAAAAATGTGGCATCAGCAATGCTATGGGTGGAACTGAGGACAGTGAAATTTACCAAGATGAGGAAAGTGACTCTTCAGAAGACATCGGAAATGCAGAAATTGAAGTAGACGATACTTCTGATATTGACAGTGATGAAGAGTTCTTGGCCTTCTGTGATGTATAAATATTGTGAATTTGTTACCAGTACATAACATTTCTTGTACCTTGTATCTGGTTCTTGTATTTTGTAATTATTTGTTACATAAAATTTCCTGTACCATATTATGTTAAAAAATAAATGCTAAGATTCCTTTATAATACAAAAAACAAGTATCTAAATTTCAATAAATACATAAATTGAATTAAAAAATTAGAAGAGAGAAAACAAACTTCTGGCCAAGATGGAGGCCTAGGTAGACACACTGTGCCTCCTCGCACAACCAAAAGAAGGACAACAACATTTAAAAACAAAAAACAACCAGAATTTACAGAAAATCAAACTGTATAGAAGTCCGACACCAAGGAGTTAAAGAAGAAACATTTACCCAGACCGGTAGGAAGGGCAGAGAGGGCTCATGGCAAGGCAGTGGCTGGCTGACCCAGCGAGGTGGTGGACTGTGGACCAGGTGGCCCCACATTCGCACGCAGGTAAACCAGGCAAAACTGGGAAGTGGGACAGGTTGCACAACCTAGGGTCTCAGGGCAGGGAAATAAAGCCTCAAACCACTGACTGAAACACCTGTGGGGGTTAAGGTGCCAGGAGAGACTCCCAGCCTCACAGGAGAGTTTGTTGGAGAGACCCACAGGGTCCTACAACCTACACAAACTCACCCACCTGGGAATCAGCACCAGAAGGGCCCAATTTGCTTGTGAGAAGTCGTGGAAGGGACTGAAATTCAGCAGAGAGCCAAGCAAGCGCCATTGTTCCCTCTCAGACCCTGCTCCAACATATAGTGTCACAACCCAGCCACGTGGGTTCCTCCGCCCCTCACTATGTAACAGACGCATCAAGACAAAAAAAAAAAAAAATGGCCCAAATGAAAGAACAGATTGAAGCCCCAGAGCAGATACAACTGTAACAGGGTGAAGCCAAGAGGGGAGCCCCAAATAGGGATTTGGAATGGGGCCCAGAACTCAGGGTGTCCAGGAAATATTAGGATGTCCTCACCTGCCGCCCCCACAGTTGTGGGTTGGGGGAAGGGACAAATGGAGCAGGGCCATTGGAAGCTGTTTTGTATAGCAATAGCTTTGCAGCTAATCTCTGGCATGGTCATTGAACATATCTATAACCTTTAACTGGTTACATAGATAGGTTAAATTGCTGTGGCCATACTCTGAGCCAGGGGAATGGAAGTAACTCCCCCCCCCCCATAAATGTAACTGTGGGGCTGGTCCCCTGAGTTACAGTGCCTGCGTGAGAGCTTGGAGATGACTGGCTCCATGACATGGGACCACACCTGCCCAGACTCACGATGGCAACCCAGTAAAGCTGGAAGGATATGAGAGTGCTGGCAAGTGTAGCCAACTGTGGGAGGAGTCCGAAATGGGGTTGCAGAGGACCACACGGCTCAGGCAGTGCAGAGAGAACCACAAGGCTTTGCCAGAGTGGGGACTCCCACAGCCATTGTGAAGAGAGGACCACTCGGCTGTGGCAACAGAAAGGAGAGCCACGCAGCTGTGGACATATAAGAGAGAACTACTCGGCTTTGCCAGAGTGGGGACCCCTGCAGCTTTAGAAGGGGGAACCACCACCCACCTTTAGCAGAGATCCCGGCAACACAGCTGATGGTGCTGGGAACTGAGGAAGGCCTACCAGCCAAGCACGGATTACTGGGAAGAACTGGGGGCTGCCTGAGCCACAGACTTCTATTTCTGTTCCTGAGATATGGTATCCCAGACTGGGCAAAGAGGGAAGGAAGGACTGTGTGTGTTTGTGGGTGTTTTAAGGGACTTTGGGATTTTGATGAAGGCATTAGGTCACTACTTTAAGTCTGTATAGCATTAAATAAACATTTCCTTTCCTTTTCACGAATCTCTGGCATTGACAAACATCTTTCCTCTGGTGGCAGACATAATGATTACGAACCTGGGGGGGTTCCTTTTGGTAACAGTATATCGTCCCAAGGCCCGCCTTGTTGTTCTGTAACACAACTGAGTAATGAAGAGATAGCCAACCTATCAGATGCACAGTTCAAAGCACAGTTCAAAGCACTGGTAATCAGGATGTTCACAGAATTAGTTGAATTTGGTCACAAATTAGATGAAAAAATGAAGGCTACACTAAGTGAAATTAAGGAAAATGCACAGGGAACCAATGGTGATGGGAAGGAAACTGGGACTCAAATCAATGGAGTGGGTCAGAAGGAAAAAAGAAACATCCAACCAGAAAAGAATGAAGTAACAAGAATGCAAAAAAATGAAGAGAGGCTTAGAAACCTCCAGGACATCTTTAAACATGCCAACATTCAAATTATAGGGGTGCCAGAAGGGGAAGAGGAAGAGCAAGAAATTGAAAATTTATTTGAACAAATAACAAAGGAGAACTTCCCCAATCTGGCAAAGGAATAGACTTTCAGGAATCTAGGGTGTTCACAGAGTCCCAAAGAAGTTGGACCCAAGGAGGAACACACCAAGGTACATTATAATTACATTACTCAAGATTAAAATGAAGGAGAGAATCCTAGAAGCAGTAAGAGATAAGGAGACAGTTACCTACAAAGGCGTTCCCATCAGACTGTCAGCTGATTGCTCAAAAGAGACCTTCCAGGCAAGAAGGGGCTGGAAAGAAGTATTCCAAGTCATGAAAGACAAGAACCTACATCCAAGATTGCTCTATCCAGCAAAGCTTTGATTTAGAATGGAAGGGCAGATAAAGTGCTTCTCAGATAAGGTCAAGTTAAAGGAGTTCATCACCACCAAGCCTTTATTATATGAAATGTTAAAGGGACTTATCTAAGAAAAAGAAGACAAAAACATGTACAGTAAAATGACAGCAACCTCACAATTATTAACAACCACACCTAAAACAAAAAGAAACTAAGCAAACAACTAGAACAGGAACAGAACCACAGAAATGGAGGTCACATGGAGGGTTAGCAACAGGGGAGTAGGAGGAGGAGAGAGGGGGAAAAGGTACAGAGAATAAGTAGTGTAGATGGTAGGGAGAAAATAGGGAGAGCGTAAGAATAGTATAGGAAATGTAGAAGCCAAAGAACTATATGTACATCCTGTGGACATGAACTAAAGGGGGGGAATGTGGGTGGGAGGGGGTGTGCAGGGCAGAGGAGAGTGAAGGGGAGAAATGGGACAACTGTAATAGCATAATCAATAAAATATATTAAAAAATGAGCAAAAAAATATTAAAAGATTTTCTTCCTGAAAGTTTGGGCTAAACACATGGGTGTGTACACAGCAATATGCAGTACTATCAAACAAACCCAATCAATTGTTAGAGAAATTATGATATATCTACTTAACTGAACAGAATGCAGGCATTAAAAGCTACTTGTTAACATAAGAATGACTGAGATACAGTTCAAAGTTAAAAGAGAAAAACAAATTACCACAGTATGAGTAATTTTTTATTTAAAATAACTGCCAGAAAAATTGTGAAAGAATGTATACCAAAAACGTTAAAGTTATTGTCTCTTGATGTAGGGATTCAAATTTTTTTTATCTTTGATCTTTGCTGGGTTATCTTTTCTACACAGACAAGAAGTTTTTTGCATTTGACCATATATTACTTTCATAATCTTGGGGAAATGAATGTCAAAAATAAAATTCAGCACTCAGTTCTTTAAGAGCAAAAATAGGAAGAGCCTGAAGGAAAAATCCCAATGAGAAAGGATGAAGAGGCTTCCACATTCCCGCTATTCCCATGTGGAGTTATCTTCACACCACTGTTTGACTCCAGCAATAGAATTATAACTACAGTAGTAGATGCACAGACAAATTCATTTCTCTTTAATTCAGAAAAGCCTAGCTTTCTATTTTTCGAAGGATTTTCTAGGAAATAAAAAGCCATAGAAATAAGCAAATTTACTTAAAATGGACTCCTTTTTTCAACGATAATTAAACAATGGGTACACAGGATTTTGCTGCCCACTATTAAACCTCAGCCTCATCTTGCTTCAGTTTTCTTGAGCCAGACACACTGACTGGACATTTCTTAAGCTTGATATGACCCTTATGTGACCCACAGTTTCTATGGCAACTTGCCCTGATTTTTCAGGGACCATATGTTCTCAATATAGCAGATAAATAGGTGATGACTAGAGAAATTTATTTATATTAGTTCTTATTTCCAATCTTGAAGGACATCCATAGTCCTAAGTACACTTGCATTGAAAAGGTGACCACCATATCGTAAAGCCTAACAAAAGAATAGCTTCCCAGAACTCTGTCCTTACAGGTCTAAAATAGATAAAATAATACACAGAGCAACAGAGACAATGGGAAAAGGTAGGTTATTTTTTATCAATATACTGTATTATACAGAAGGGAAGGGAAAAACAAGAAAATTGTTTCACACTTTTATATACTTTTAATATGTTAGAATATATTTCTAATTCAAATATGAAGATATATGGATCAAAATATTTGCAGATTTTTGTTCTCAGGGTCTACAAAATAAATAAAAATAAAAATAAAAATAAAAATAAATAAAAATTTAGGAACCACAAGAATAAATTGATCTTGAGAAAGGGCTAAGGAGTTAGCCCTTAAAGGGCTTAAGTTTTCATTCCACAGCTGCCTGTTTTAATAAGGTTCTCATATTCCAAAACAGATGGACAATTTCAAACTTACCTTGCTGAATTCCTTTCATTCTTTGTTTTTTCCCTGGTTCTTTAGAAAACGATGATCCTAACGCAATACTGGAGGGTTCTTTAGCTTGTCTGTATTGTTTCAGCTGACTGGCAAAATCTTCCTCCATTTCCTGACTGTAATTACCGAAGTTGTCATCACTGTAGTTACCGAAGTTGTCATCACTGTAGGTACTGTACTCACCATATTCTTTACTTTTATATTTCTTGTTATGTTGACTCTTCCTTGATGTCATGTAGCTTCCGGATATATATCCATGCTAAATGAAAATGGACAATTACTATTAGGATTTTTCAGTTACATATAGGAATTGATTAACATAGGACATCTTCCCCACCCCCCATAAAATTGGGAGAAAGAAGGAGACAGTTATTAGTTCTGCCTCTTGGTTAGTACTGATCTAGGACACTATTTAAAACTAAGTTAAAAAAGTAAATGCTATTCTAATATGATCAAATTTCATAATGTTCAAAGATCCTTGCTGGTATGTTTTATTCACTTTTTGCTTTCCATGTCCCATGTCTCAACATTTGTACATACAGGATACTTAAAAATCCACACCATCATATGTGAATTCCTTCCCCCCCAAACAGAAGAGGTCTTTCTGAAAGTAAGAAAAGTTTAGTAAAGAAGCTTGGGGGAGGGGTAGAAAATATATATAGTCTCCTAACATTAAAAAGTTCCCATTTACACATTGGAGTATATTATATTTAATAAAAAACTATATGTTTCAAAATTTTATAAAAAGAAAATGTTTTTTTCTGAGGTCTAATATTAAAAATAGATATTCACTAGAAATGAAAGACATGTAGTAAATAAACTGCTCAATAGGAACTGTTTATTATAGTATACCTTATTAACTTTACGACTTATTTCCTAAAGCATATGAAAACAGAAAACATACTTCAGTCCTAGAAGTTTATTTAATGACAGTATTCAAGCCTATATCTATTCACTAAAACACTTTTATTAGTTCTGTCATACCTTCTGTCAATTTTTATGAAAGAAAAAAACTGCATATAATTATAACTTGAGAACCCAGAAAAACCCAGAGGATGATTCATCTTTAGCTTAGTACATTTTAAATGTGATATAAAAATACTGCCATGGCAGAATACCAACAAAAGACTATGTGTTTTTAATAAAATGCAGAGAAACATTAAGTTCTTTTCAGTAGAGAAAATATGTAACTAATGCAGTCAAGAAAATCAATTAGCTCATCAATTTAAAATTTTGAAGACACTGTATTAGATTTTTCACTTATTTTAAACACTATTTTTAAAGTTTATAAACTGTTCTCAGTCTACCACTTCAGAAATTCAGAGGAGGAATCAAAATTAGACAAAAGGCAGTGTCTGTGACATTTCTAAAGAGGTCAATAAAATAAAACAAAAAGTAATTACTTAAGTTAAAGCTTAATTAGTTGAATGGTACCTACATTTCCTTTTATAAAAATGTAGTTACATTGATGCTTCAATGATATATTTCAATGCTTTATGACTAAAAATTACTGTTAATGGGTATAAATTCTTCTCTAGAGATTACAGATGTTTGTCACAAAATGCTTTTTCTTAATATTAATTTAATTTGATTTTTTCATAGCCTTTATAAAAATAATCTTCATATTCCTCATTTTTAAAATAGAATTATCCCTAGCTTTCAGGTTATCTCCTCCTTAGTTTTCCCAACTGCAAATATTCCTAAGGGCCCTTGAATGATATAAACACCCCATGCCAGGGCTCCCCGCACAGTGGAAGACTTCTAATGTGGCTTCCTGAGGGTCGGAGAGCCACCCACACTGACTACAGAGCAGCCCCATTAGTGACCTAGCAGAATGTCCACTTATGCTGCACATGTTCACCATCTGAATGACCAAAACACACGCACAAGCGAGGACCTAGGAAATGTTTTTTTAAAGCCCTCATGAAAAAAGATAAAAGCAATGAAAAAGCCTGTTAAGTTCTACTATAGGATATAGTTTCTCCAACCACTGTATTGACTGATTATTAGGCCATCTATACTGCTAGAAGACCGTTTCTGCCAACCAGGATCCAGCCCCATGCAATCTCTGTGAATGTGAAATGAGGGACCAGGAGGCCCTGGACAAAGATGAGGAAAAGGGAAGCTATATTGAGTCCTCTAATATTAATACTATATTCTATTTTTGGCTTGTAATTTTGTAGAAGTTGTATGAGTAGATACCTATATTTTAAGAAAATGGGATTTTTAAGATGTACTTAGGGTATTTTCTAATCTTAGTGGGTCAACTCTAAAACACATGTGGAGGAAATAGTATGGAACTTTCTCTTCTTCTAATGGCAGAGTAGGTAATTAATTTAGAGCAGTCTTCTTCCTAAAAAATATAGAAAAGATAGACAAAAATTTTTTCTCAAGTCCACTGTAGCTATCAGAGAGCTAATAATTAGTGAGGGATTAATGGAATATTAACTATAGAGCAGATGAAAATCCCTAAGCGACCAGCATTTATAGCTGTTTTTGCTCTGAGAGCATTAGCCCATCATGAAAAATCAGTCATAAGGTCCAACAGCATTTCTGATCTATAGGAACAAAAGGGGAGTCAGAGTCTGGAAAAAAGAGAAGCCTTAGCACCCCCCACCTCCCAAATTTGGAAGAATCTCAAAATGTGACTCAAAGGCTGCAGTCCAACCTTAAGTCATTAGGTGACCCAGAAAACTCAAATCCCGACAGTGGAATAAAGTTTGTATGAGTCAGCAGGAATCTAGAAAAAGCAAGTGAAAATCCTCTGAAAAACATGACTATCATCTTAAGCCTCAAGTTATGTATATAAAATGCACTGTATACAATACAAAAACAAATAAACAAACAAAAACCCAGGCATATAAGACCCCATAAAAAAGAACCACAAAAGCAACAGGTAAAAGAAATACAGAGTCCAGATGGTGGAATTTATGTGACATAAATTTTAAAATATCTGCATTTGCTATTTACAACTAAAAGACATGAGAATTTCAGAAGGTAAATTGAAAATACAAAAATTACTTTGAAGATATAAAAAGGAATCAAATAAATCTCTAGATGTGAAAAATACAAATACTGAAATGAAGAACCTAACAGATAAGTTTAAAGGCAAATCAGATCCCCTAAGGAGAAGAGGGCAGGAGAAGACAGAGATAAAGGATAAAGCAAAGCACATGCAGTAAAAGGTTAATCACAGGAAATCTGGGTGAGAGACACACAGGGGTGCATTCTGGTCACTTTTTTCTAAATTTTTGTGACAAAATAAAAAAATTACTAAAAATGAGAGTGAAATAAACAATTTCCCAATAAATGAAAGCGAAAATTTATTGACAGCAAACCCACACCACAAGAGATGATTTAAACTCAGAAGAGCACTGGAAATGAAATGTGAGTATATACAAATGATCACCCTTTTTTTTAAATTTCTTTAACTGAGTTCTTGAAACAAAATTGCATTGAATTGCATTGAATTGCATTGAATTACATTGACCCTACATGTAGGGATATATAATAGTCAATACATGACAATAACTATACTGTTTAAGAAATATGTGTCATGCCCTGGCTGGCGTAGCTTAGTGGATTAAGCGCAGGCTGCGAACCAAAGCAACGCAGGTTCGATTCCCAGTCAGGGCACATGCCTGGGTTGCAGGCCACAGCCCCCAGCAACCGCACATTGATGTTTCTCTCTCTCTTTCTTTCTCCCTCCCTTCCCTCTCTAAAAATAAATAAATAAAATCTTTAAAAAAATCTTAAAAAAAAAAAAAGAAAATATGTGTCACTTAAAACAAATGCCCTATTGTTTGTATGCACTAACTGTCCTTCACAGTGGCCTTCAAAGAAGGCTATGTACTTATTACAGTACTTCTGCCACTGTCTTCAATATTCTGTATCTCCTCTTTTGGAATTACTTTCAGTGACAGTGTATGAATCAAGAGCTTATATATCTCATTACTTGATATTTTCTGAAATAGCAATGCCCACCCTGAGCATTCTTCATTCACTGGAAGAGTTCACAAATGAATTTTGACTAATTCTAAAAAATAAATCCAAGTGCAAATGGTGAAATTTAGGTATACCACACCATTGTTTGCTGAAATAGCAATAATTTAAAAATTTTGTCATTAGCAGTAAAATAATTCTAATGAATAGTTGTTCAAATGTTTTGAGAAGTGGCAGCATCATTCACTTCAAGACTGTAGGACACGCTGAATGTGTATGTATATATACACAAATATATATTCTTATATGTACCTAGCTATATAAAATTATTAACTAGACTATAATTCTTTCCAAAGTTTAAAAAAGACATTTTATTAAAACTTATTTATCCAACGGTCACTGAGCAACTTCCACTCTAAAGATGGGAGTAGAGAAACAGAGGCAATAGGAAGAACTAGAACACACATAATAATGTGGTTTCTAAGCTTACAAGAGACTGGAAAACCAAATTACATGAAAGAATACATACAGCATTTGCAGACGAGCATATTAACAGATTGGCAGAAACCAGACCTCAGAAAGTCTGGGGTTTTTCAGATAGAAGCACAATGACCTGAACATTCTCCAGTGCTCCTGGGAATCTTTCTAGCACAAGTGATTTTTATACTGAAGACTTTGTTCATATAGTACAACATATTTAAGACAGATATAAAATTTATCATGTTTTAAAATGTTTTGTGTTTAAAACACTTCAAATAATTTTTCAATTTAAAGAGGTAGATGTCACAAAATTTAAATGTTGAAGCCTTAACCTCCAGTACCTCACAATGTATTTAGAGATCAGGACTTTAAAGTGGTATGATTAAGCAACAAAACAAACAAGCAAACAAAATAGAACCAGAGACATTGAAATTAAGAACAAACTGACAGTAACCAGAGGGGAGGCGGGAAGGGGTAATGAGGGGGAAAGGAGGAAGAGTTTTCAGGAACATCTATAGAGGACACATGGATAAAACTGAAAGTGGGGTAGGATCAAGCAATGGTAGGAAGTGGGGACGGCTGGGGTGGGGGAGAAATGGAGACAGCAATACTTGAACAACAGTAAAAAAAAGTTTAAGAAAAAGAAGACTCTCATTGGTATTTTGATAGGGATTGCATTGAGTATGTATATTTCTTTAGGTAGTAAAGATATTTTGACTATACTAATCCTTCCAATCCATGAACACAGTATATATCCTTCCATTTATTTGTGTCCTCTTCCATTTCTTTCTTCAATGTGCTTAATTTTTAAAGTGCTTAATGAAATACTTAATTTTTAAAATGCCAAACTTGTGCTAAAGTGCTAAAGTGTTAAATTTCTAAATACACAAACTTGATTTTAAAAACAACTTGTTAACGGGGAGTTGTCAATGAGTACAGAGTTTGTTTTGCAAGATAAAGTTCTGGAGATTGGCTGTGCAGCAATGTGAAACTACTTAACACTACTGAACTCTACACTTAAAAATGGTTAAGATGGTAAATTTATGTTAAGTGTATTTTTACCATGATTAAAAGAAATCTACAAGCAAAATAAATTAATAAGTAAAGTGGTGATTAAGACTGTCAGGGTGGGCCCTGATCCAATATGATTAGTGTCCTTATAAGAAGAAATGTGAACATGCAGAGACACACCAGGGGTACATGCTGCATAGAGGGATGATCACATGAGGACACAGTAGCAAGAAGGCGGCCATCTCTACAAGCCAAGAAGAAAGGCCCAAACAGTTCCTTCCCTTATCTTCAAGGAAACCACCCTGCTGTCACCTTGACCTTGGACTTCCAGTCTCCAGACTGTGAGAAAATAAATTTCTGTTGTTTAATCCACCTGGCCTGTAGTATTTTCTTATGGCAGACCAAGCACACTAATTAATACAAGATGTATTAATTACATTTAATACAAGATGTGTATTTAACTAAATTAAGATGTGTATTAATAAATTTAATACAAGATGTATTAAAGCATGTAACTTGTAAAATATTTTTTCAAAATATAAGAAAGCAAAGAATAGAACTGAAGTTTGATTTTTTTCCTTTTTTAAAAGCAGTACCTCAAAACCACAATGAATACAATTTCATACACATTAGGAAGGCTATTATTTTAAAAATCCCATAGAAAATATCATTTGACAAGGATGTGTAAAATCAGAAATCTTCATACATTGTTGGTGGGAATGTAAAACGATAAAGCCTTTGTGAGAAACAGTATGGTGGTTCCTCAGAAAGTTAAACGTAGAATTACCAAATAATCCAGAAATTCCATGGCTATGAACATACACCCATGTTGTGAGAATTACTCACAATGGCCAAAAGGTAGAAGCAACCCAAGTGTCCATCAACAGAGGAATGAACAAACAGAATGTTGTAGCGCTGACTGGTATGGCTCAGTGGGTTGGACGTCGACCAGCAAGGTGAAAGAGCACTAGTTTGATTCTTATCAGGGCACATGCCAGGGTTGTGGGTCAGGTCTCAGGTTGGGGGTATGTGAGAGGCAACCAAAAATGGATGTTTCTCTCCATCTTGTTCTCCCTCTCTTCCCCTCTCTCTAAAAGTAAATTCTATAAAAATCTTAAAACAAAACGTAATATATGGCCCTGGCTGGTGTGGCTCAGTGGTTGAGTGCTGGCCTGTGAAGCTAAGGGTCACACTGGTTCAATTCCCAGTCAGGGCACATACCTGGATTGTGGGCCAGGTCCCCAGTAGGGAGTGTGAGAGGCAACCACACATTGCTGTTTCTCTCCCTCTTTCTCCCTCCCTTCCCTTCGCTAAAAAATAAATAAAATCTTTTTTAAAAATGTGATATATGCATATAATGGAATATTATTCATCCTTAAAAGGAAAAAAATTGACACATGATACACTACAACATGGATGAACCTTGAAAAGATTATAAGCATAATAAGCCAGATACAAAAGGACAAATACCGTATGATTCCACCTATATGAGGGATCAGAGACACAAAGTATAACAGTAGTTATATGGGGATAGGGGAGGGGAAATGGGGTTTTATTGCTTAGTGGGAACACAGTTTCTGTTTGAGATGATGAAGAAGTTCTGGAAATGGATAGTGATGATGGTTGCACAACACTGTGAATCTACTTAATGCTACTGAACTATATTTAAGAATGGTTAAAATGGTAAATTTTATGTTATGTATACCTTATTATGATAAAAAAGGTAATACCTGAGAAAATGTGATGTCATAATCCCTGTAGAAACCAGTTCTTTTTTTGTGGGAACTTTCTGCATGTTCGACATCTGAATCAAGGCTGTAGTCTGAATTGTCATCACTAGATGGAGAATTATGCTAAAGAAGGAGAAAACAAATATGTTACCTTTGCAAAGAGAAGAATGTTGATTTTTTAAATTTTTTATTATATTATAGAATACCCATGGGGATGTGAAGTACAGCATAGGAAATGGAGCCGCTAAAGAACCTATGCATGACCCAGGGACATGAACAATAGTGTGGGGCTGGCCTGAGAGAGTGGGGATTAGAGGGGGCCAAAGGGGGAAAAATTGGGACAACTGTAGTAGAATAATCAATTATACATAATTAAAAAAATAAAACAAATAAGATGAGACTATTTCTAAACCTATCCAGTCTCCATGAGGTCTTTCATATACAAAACATTCCTGCAGCCTCTGTTCATGGTATTTCCCAACAGTGGAACATTTTCTCCCTTTCTTTTCTTTTCAAATTCCATTTTTTAAAAATATGAACTCTAATCCTTACTCCTGCCTACCTTTCTTCAGTGTCTTTTATGTTATTTGAACTGTAAAATTAGCACATTCCCAAATGTCTAACTTTGTACACTACATTTTATTACATAGTTTTCACTTGATAATTGTTTTTTTGTTTTTGTTTTTTTTTATATTTTATTTATTTATTTTTAGAGAGGGAAGGGAAGGAGATAGAGAGAGAAACATCAATGTGCGGTTGCTAGGAGTCATGGCCTGCAACCCAGGCATGTACCCTGACTGGGAATCAAACCTGTGACACTTTGGTTCACAGCCCATGCTCAATCCACTGAGCTACGCCAGCCAGGGTGATAATTGTTTTATGGCTATGATCAATGTACCTAATCTCACCAAATAAAATAAAAGCTCTCTGTAGAATTAATGTATTTTTCCTCTTTAATCAATGTATTTGCCATAACACTAGCCAATAAATTTGTATATACTATCTGCTTATTTCAGACTAGTTAAAGACTCTACAGACACATAAATTAACAAATCTTATAGGGAGAAAGTTTAATAAAACGAACCTTAGGGGAAAAGGGGTCTGGGACTAGTCACAGTATCCTAGGAGAAAGAGGTATTGAGCTGAGCCTTCCTACCTGAGATTGTATAACCTTCTAGCCTGGAGCAGAGGGCAGCCAGTAGGAGACAGGCCTGGGTTGCAAGCAAGAAATCAGCACATTGAACTGGTATGATGTTCTGTTATATTTCTAACAAAACTTAAAAAATTTTCTGACAGCAAAACAGATGCTAGAATGTTTCCTCTTCATTAGGCCATGTTATTTGTTTTCTGTGCAAGAATTGCTTTCTCACACAAAATCAAATGTGGTGTATACTTGGAACCAACTGGTAGAATTTGTGGGTTCAGTAGAAATGGAGCCTTCTCATACTCCAAGTAGGGAATTTGTGTTTTCTGTCTCTGAAACTTCAGTTCATCTTTACACACACGTTTGAGATGCCCCTCTATTATATACTAATTTTCCACAGGCATTCGGTCTATATCTAAGTTTATTTCCTGCTCTGTCGGTCTGTCTGTTTTCCATGTACCAGTATCACACTCCACTCCTTTAATAACTGAGGCTTTCCTATGTCATAGTATGTTAGGGTCACCCCATGTATTATTCCTATTTGGGTGTTCCTATATATTTCTGTATGGTAGTTTTAACGGTAAGTCCACAAATTTGTTATTCCCCTACCTTTAAGGCATGGGGATTCATTCCTCCCCCCTTGAGTGCAGGCTAGAACTAGAAACTCCCGTCCAGCAAATAGAATGTCAGAAGTGATGGCATGTGCCTCTGAGGTCAGGTTATAAAAAGACTGTAACTGTCATCATGGGGGCTCTGCTGGTTGCTCTCATTGTCAGTTCACTTGCTTGGGAGGAAGCCAGCTAAGACCATGAGGACATTGAGGCATCCTGCAGAGGGTCTACATGGTAAGGAGCCAAGAGAGTGAACTCGGAAGAGTATCCCGCTGCAGTTGAGCCTGGAGATTATTACAGCCTCAGGAGAAATGCTGAGCTACAGCTACCTAGTTCAGCTTCATGTACATTTCTGATCCACAGAGACAGGGAGATAAATTTTTGTTGGTTTAAATTTCTAAATAAGTTGTTGCAGCAGCATTTACTAACATGATTGTGATGTCCCAGAAGGCTGTGCCGCCATAACAAGTATCTACTGTAAAAGGTAGCAGTGGTTTGAGAACCAGGAAGCGGATATAGACTGGAAGGACTTAAAGAAGCATTAATTGGTGAAAATCTGAATTGTCTTGAATGATTGTTAGCAAAATTAGAGTGTGTGGCAACTTAAAGGAAAGTAAGAGCCCTGGCTGGTGTAGCTCAGTGGATTGAGTGCCAACCTGTGAACCAAAAGGTCTCTGGTTTGATTTCCAGTCAGGACACATGCCTGGGTTGTAGGCCAGGTCCCCAGTGGGGGCCACATGAAAGGCAACCACACATTGATGTTCTCTCTTTCTCCCTCCCTTCCCCTCTCTCTAAAAATTAATAAAATCTTAAAAAAGAGGAAAGTAACAAATATCTTACCAAAATTGGAAGAAGGGAGACCCTTGTTACCAAGTTTACTAAAATTGGAAGAAGGGAGATCCTTGTTATGTAGTGGTAGAAAAATCAGCAACAATGTTTGTTACGTTCAGGAATGTGAAAAACAGAAAATGTGTCTAATGAGCTAGGTGATCTGGTTAAAATTTTGAAAATATCCATCTATGAGGAAAGATAAATTAAAAGTTTCAAAAGTTTTTACCCTTAAAATATCTAATTTTATTTTTGTTTTTCCTATTTTCTTTATTAGTTTGGCCAATGGTTCAAAAAAGTTGTTGATTTTTTTAAACAACTTGTTTTTCATCTAATTTTCAAGTTCTGCTTGTAACATTACTATGTCCCTCCTATTTCTTTTTTTTTCTACTTAAAATATTTTATTTTATATTCAAAACTGGTTTATACAAATAAATACATATACATGTATTTAACAAGTGTTCAAAGTAGGTCTTCAAACTAATCTAGGCTATAAAAATAAGATTTTTGTTTTTCCAAAAACACTTTTGCCTCCTACTTTTACAGAAAGTTGGTGAGTCCTATGCTACTCTCCATGGGAAGAGAAAACCCATGGTTAGAGGAAAAGGTCCTACTTAAGATTAACAACAGATGACACAAAGGCCAGGATTCAAAACCAGTTCTTTGATTCCAGAGTCAGTTTTCTTTCATGATTGCAGGGAACAATATATTTTTTTTCTTTTTTTAAAATATATTTTATTGATTATGCTATAATCAACAGTTGTCCCCTTTTCCCCCTTCATTCCCCTCCACTCTGCACACCCTTTCCCACCCACATTCCCCCCCTTTAGTTCATTTCATGTCCATGTGTCATAAGTTCTTTAGCTTCTACATTTCCCTTACTATTCTTACCCTTCCCCTATTTCCTCCCTACCATCTACACTACTTATTCTCTGTACCTTTTCCCCCTCTCTCCTCCTCCTACTCCCCTGTTGCTAACCCTCCATGTGACCTCCATTTCTGTGGTTCTGTTCCTGTTCTAGTTGTTTGCTTAGTTTCTTTTTGTTTTAGGTGTGGTTGTTAATAATTGTGAGGTTGCTGTCATTTTACTGTACATGTTTTTTGTCTTCTTTTTCTTAGATAAGTCCCTTTAACATTTCATATAATAAAGGCTTGGTGGTGATGAACTCCTTTAACTTGACCTTATCTGAGAAGCACTTTATCTGCCCTTCCATTCTAAATCAAAGCTTTGCTGGATAGAGCAATCTTGGATGTAGGTTCTTGTCTTTCATGACTTGGAATACTTCTTTCCAGCCCCTTCTTGCCTGGAAGGTCTCTTTTGAGCAATCAGCTGACAGTCTGATGGGAACGCCTTTGTAGGTAACTGTCTCCTTATCTCTTACTGCTTCTAGGATTCTCTCCTTCATTTTAATCTTGGGTAATGTAATTGTGATGTGCCTTGGTGTGTTCTTCCTTGGGTCCAACTTCTTTGGGACTCTGTGAACTCCCTAGATTCCTAAAAGTCTATTTCCTTTGCCAGATTGGGGAAGTTCTCCTTTGTTATTTGTTCAAATAAATTTTCAATTTCTTGCTCTTCCTCTTCCCCTTCTGGCACCCCTATAATTTGGATGTTGGAACGTTTAAAGATGTCCTGGAGGTTTCTAAGCCTCTCTTCATTTTTTTGCATTCTTGTTTCTTCGTTCTTTTCTGGTTGGTTGGTTCTTTCTTCCTTCTAGTCCACTCCATTGATTTGAGTCCCAGTTTCCTTCCCATCACCATTGGTTCCCTGTGCATTTTCCTTAATTTCACTTAGTGTAGCCTTCATTTTTTCATCTAATTTGTGACCAAATTCAATCAATTCTGTGAGCATCCTGATTACCAGTGCTTTGAACTGTGCATCTGATAGTTTGGCTATCTCTTCATTGCTCAGTGGTATTTGCTCTGGGGCTTTGATCTGTTTTTTCATTGGGCCCTTTTTTTTTCTTTTTTTTTTGTCTGGTTGTGCCTGTTAAGTATGAGGGGCAGAGACTTAGATATTCCCCAGAGCAGGGCAACCCACATGGCTGGGTTGTGATGCTGTATGTGGGGCAGGGTCTGAGAGGGAACAATGGCATTTGCTCTATTCTCTGTTGGATTTCAGTCCCTTCTGCCACTTCCCCCAAACAAACTGGTCCTTTCTGATGCTGATTTACATGTGGGTGGGCTTGTGTACGTTCTAGGACCCTGTGGGTCTCTCCAACACACTCTCCTGTGAGGCTGAGAATCTCTCCCAGTACCTCAACCCCCACAGGTGTTTTCAATCAATGTTTTGAGGTTTTATTTCCCCAAGCTGGGACCCTGGGTTGTGTGGTCTGACTTGCTCCCCAGTTTCGCCTGGTTTATTTGCGTGCAAATGTGGGACTGCCTGGTCAGCCAGCCGCCTTGCGCACCATGCCCTGCTTCACAATTGCTGCCTTGCTGGGTCTGCCTGTTGCCACTCCGCACCCTGGGTCTTCCAGCTGCCGCCTGCATGCCCAGTGCCACCACTTCTTTTTGCTTCGACCTCTCTTTGCCAGGAAGCCCAACTCCACCCTTCCTACCAGTCTGGATGAATGTGTCTATTTTAACTCCTTGGTTGTCAGACTTCCATACAGTTCAATTTTCTGTCAGTTCTGGTTATTGTTTTGTTTCTAAATTGTTGTCCTTATTTTGGTTGTGTGAGGAGGCACAGTGTGTCTACCTATGCCTCCATCTTGGCCAGAAGTCCTCCCTCCTATTTCTTTAGTCTTACTTTGCGGTTTTCTAGTTTTTAGTACTATAGTTCTATAATTTTTCTTCTGGTAATCACTTTAGCTGTACTCCAATAACACTTAGATGTCAAGATTTTATCATCATTTTCATGAAATTCTGTAGTTTTAATGTGTACTCAGTTTTGTATACAAAAAGTATAGCAAGTATTCAAATTAAAAAACAAAGGCATTTTTGTTTCTTGACTTTGTTACTAATGTCTAGTTTTATTGCATTGTGGTTTATTGCATTGGAGTTTTCTTTGTGGCCTACAATATGGTTTGTTTGGATGTACTTGGCAAGGAAATACATTCTCAGGATATACAGCTTACTATATATTTATTATATTTCTTTAATATCCTTACCACCTTTTCATCTACCTGGTTAATTGTTTTGGGTTAAGGGAGGTATACTGGTATATCTCCTGTTATTAGTGTGTTCCTTCCTATTTCTTCTCATAGCTCCTATAGTTCCTGCTATATGAAGGTTTGTGTTTTGGATGATATGAAATATTAGTATCTTCACTGTAAGTTGTAACTACTAACATAAAATGCGCTTGTTTCTTTCAATGCCTTTTTGACCTAAACTTGACTTTTTCACATATCAATGTTGTGACTTCTACCTTCTCTTTCCATTTGCCTGTATAGCTTTACCCATTTTTAAAATCTTTCCTTTGTTCATAGCTCAGAGTTGGACTTTGCATTGTTTGGTATATCTTTTGGTATTTAGGAAGATGTGTGTTTAAGAGACTTATTATGCATGAATAAAGAGAGTGAAGCAAGGTAAGGATTTGGGTTAATAGATCCCCTCCACACATACCTATGTTTGGGTAGTCACCTCTTTGAGAGGCGGAGGTGGCACCACCTTTACCTGTCAATCAATATGTAACTCCCTCAACCCCATCCCACCAACTGTATAAGTCCTCAGAATAAAGGAAGAGTCCTCTTTTTTTGGCCACCTGGGTGTTTACACCCATCCACTGGTGACCCTGCTTTTGTCACCCTTGCTTTTGCTTTCCCATTAGAACTTAGCACTGATAAACTTTGCTTACATGATAGCAGGCTTGCTGATCTTTAATTCTCTACTGCATCAGTAAGAATGGAGTTTCTGAGAGTTTCTCCCGTGACATGTAAATTGTGCAGTGACTTAGATTTCACTCTTTTGTCTCCAGCCATTTGGACGCTATGAGTACAGTTTCTCACCTTTGGGGTAAAGGAAATGCTGTGCTGTGAGGGTGGGGCATTCAAAGGTGCTACTCCTGTATTTGGAGGGAGAAACAATGAAATCTGAAATAAGTGTCCAGTTCTGCCCTGGCTCCAAAGACAAAAGAGGCAATTCTTCCCTCCCACCCAAATCCTTGGCTGTCCCTGTGTGAGTGGAAGCCTCACAGAGGTGTCTGAGGTCCATCCCTAAGGAGTGCAGAGGCCTCACAGGGAACTCCCATCACCCACCACCTGTATTCCTTAGCCTTTTCTGATTCTAAATCTGGCCAGAAGAAAAGTCATTTAGATCGTGGGCCTGTTATAAACTTGCAGCATCTCTCCCCCAGGTGGCTTTTAGCTTCTCTCTCTCCTAGGTGGTTTCTCATAGCACCTTTCTTTTCTCTAGCACTTCAATTTACATTCAAATACCCCTGGCAGGACCTGCAAGGAGGGACAATGTTACATTTGCTAGGTGAAGGTCTTGCTCTCTCCCTCTCAAGAAACTGCTGCACCCTCGGGCAGGGGTCAAGCACTTAAAAGCCACTAGGGTGCTTGCTTCAACAAAGACATCCATGAGAGGATAAGCTGGGATGTGGATGGGCACAGAATGCTAGGTTTCCCACCAGCTGCAAGCAGAAGTCCACGTCAGAAGAGGCACACTGTAAAGCAATCACCTTTTAATCCTTGCAACATATTCCCCACTTAGGTTTAGTTCTCTGGAGAAGGCAAGATTTTAGCCCTTAGTGGAAACTGCTGGCTTTTCTAGGTTCTTTTCTCCTAATTATGCTTTGTCTTCACACATATTTGCTTCATTCTTAAGTTTCCCCCTCTTCATTTCATAATATACTCCTTAGGTGAAATGTCTGGTAACCTAATCACGTTTAAGTTTTAAGAGAATTATTATGCATAAACTATTTCCCTTATACTGCCATTTTCCATTAACCTGAATCAGTGTCTTCTTTACATACTGTTTGTTTACAAATAGAACCAATAATGAAATTAAACAGTAACTCCTTCTTCTGCTTTCTCTTTTTCATTCCTAGGATAATAATTTGAAGTATATCCTTTTATTCTCAGCTAATGTCTATAAGGTAATCAATAAGCTTATCCTGCTTACCTGTACTCTTCTGTTTTTCCTGACATTTTGACAGTTGCAATGTTCTGATAATAGTATTCTGCCCCTTTGTGTCCATTTAGTCCTTGTTTTATAAGTAAAATATGTGTGTGTGTAGATCATTTTCATTTTCTCACCCAGTCATTCATTCCAGTACCATTCAATTTTACATGGTCCTCTTACATTCTCAAGTGAAATAGAACGACAAAAGCCCCTCTCAGCTTCTGTTGCTGTTCCCAGTTTGACCCTCAGGCTTCTTCCATGTTCACTGGGGACCCGCCATTTGAGCGGAACACCTGTTGGCAATTTGTTTTCTGGAAGTTCCTTTACCTTCTCTCTGCTTCATTATGCAATTGTTGTTTGTGGTTTAGTCTTACACATTCGTATTTCTGACATTTGTGGGGATAACTTGTTAGTTCATTTTTTTGTAGATATTGCCAGTAAGTTTTTGATTTTGCTATCCTAATTGCTTTGTTTTTATGGGAGAAATTCAGGGGATTTCAAAAACTACATCACTCCCCTAAGTTCGTTGTCAGCTTTCCCTTCTCTACTCCAATTCACATCTATTCAGCATTCTGTTTTCTTGATAGCATTTGTTTTTTCATTGGTTCACTGCCTTTCTCCATCCCTTCTTCATCTCTAAAAGAAGAGAGACCTCTTCACTTATTACTGTAACCCCAAGCACACAGCACAGAAACTTCCACAGCAAGCATGTGATACATGTGAATAAACCAATAAATGGATGGACAATGCCAGTGTTGTTAATCTGTATCTGCAGAGAATGAAACTTTCTTTTCTTAAGCTTCAGCATCCCACAAACTTCCATCAATTAAAAAGATGTATTTTAATTTGCATTAAAAGCTACTTTATTTTTTAAATCTTTAAAGTAATTCATATAATATTCATGTTCAAAAATGTATTAATCACATAAAGATGTAATCCATGTTTTATTAGAAAATAGGCAATGATTTATACTTCCTAATCTTCAGTATTATATATTTCATAAAAATTTACCAAAAGAATAAAAAGTAGATTCTAACTAACCTTATGTTTCTCACGTTTTCTCCTTTTGGATTTTTTCTTCTCTCTTTCTTTCTTGTGTTTTTTCCTTGATTTTCTGTAGGCTTTCTCATTTTTCTGCTTCTCATCCTCTTTTGTTTCCTGTTCTTGTGTTTCTTCAAATCCTGCATCATCTATTTCACCATCTTCTAATTCACCATCTTCTCTGTAGAAGATAATGAAAATTTTAATTTTTAAATGTTAAATCTAAAACAAATTATTACAAAAACATTTCCAAAAGAAAAGAAGCATGTGATAAGCATTTAAGTTATAATAACTTAGATCAGGGTTGGCAAACTTTTTCTGTGAATGACCAGAGTGTAAGTAAATATTTTAAATTTGCTGGCCACATACAGTTTCTGTGACAAATTCTTCCCTTTTTTTCAAAATAACCTTCAAAAAATGTATGAACCAGTCTCAGCAGCCAAAGTGTGCCAACCTCTGACTCAGATTAAGATTACTGACTCTGACAAAATAAATGCATAAATGCAATACCATTCCAAAGTATTGCAATAGTTACCATCCACTAAAATACTTTATAAAAACGTGAAGCTAAAACACTTGAGGAAGAAAACAGAGACTCTAACTACAGAAGGGATTTTTAACTTAAGGACCTTTGACAACTATAAATAGTTTTAAGATAAAAGCAATCTATATTAATTTTCATCATCAGAGTAAACTTCAACAAGCAAATTTCAACAGGTAAATAACAAAACTTTAACCAAACAAAGCCAAGGCAGAATAGTAAATTCCTCAACTTGAATCTGGAAAAAATATTCATAGTAAAACCATAAATCTAATTCTACTTCCCAAATACCAGTATCTTTGCTATTATGGAGGCTGAATCCTAGAAACAAACCTTTATGTTGATTATGGCATGTTCACAATTATAGAAGCCAAAGTGTTCATTAATAGTATTTTTAAATGCAAATTCACCAATTGATCTACATGTGAAGATAAATACATAAAATAATTCTAACATTTAATCCTGCTTCCATACAGTTTGAAAAATGCAAACTACTACAAATAGTAGATGGTAGTACAGAAAGACAGATGTCTGTGTGTGACTGGAAGCAAATGAGAAGCACCAGAACTATCGTATGTGCATTTTACTTAAAATTACCACAAATGTGTGATTTCTAAAATGCAAAACTGATCACGTCACACTCCTGCTAAAAATCTTCAGTGATGATGCAATAGCTCACATTTGCATCAAAACAATTCACTGCGATGGAGGAGGTGGTCTCAACAAGATTGGCTATGAGCTGGAATTGCTGGACAGTGAGATATGTATATAAGAGGGTTAATTCTACAATTCTCACTTTATGGGTAAAGTTTTCTATGATAAAAAGGCAGTATCACTGACTGAGGAGGATGTCAAAACCCCTTGATATTGCCAAAAGGCCCTTTATCACAGAGTCCCTGCTTACCCAGCTATAGTACTTTCAATTTCCTTACTTTCCAAGCCTGAAATACTGACTTAGAGAACCTCATTGCCTGGCTTCTCTCAACACTCACCCCTCACTCCTTCACTTGGCTAATTCCAATTCAATCTTTAGGACTCAGTTTAGATGTCACTTTCTCCAAAAAGCCTCCACTAACTACCCACATTTAGGTGAAATGATCCATCCTAAGTACTCCCCTAATAATTCTCATCTCTTTATCACTGCACTCTAGACATTACATTTGAATAAGTTGTTCATTGGTTGGTGGAAGCAGGGTATATGAGTGTCTTTCATAGCTTATCTCTAACTCCTAACATGATACACTGCTGCTTACTGAATGACCAAATGTATAACATCCATAACCCTTGCCATTATAGAACAGCCCATGATATCATCCCAAACAGACAGTGAAATCAATGTTATTTTCTTGTAGTTTCTATTACAGAATCAAAGAGGTATATATCCATTCAGGTGAACTCGAAAATTTCTTGTAAGGCTAGGCATTCTAGCTGTTTTAAGAAAAAGGCTCTGAACTTTTATAATATAATAATGCTTTATGACCCAAGAAAAACGAGTGCATATATTCACCAAAAGACAAGTATGAGGATGTTCTTAGCAGCTTTAGGCATAATAGTGAAAATATTACAAACCACCTAAATCTCTATGAACAGGAGTGGATACATAAATTGATACCTTACTTATACAATACTATCAAGCAAATAAACTTAACTGCTATATACAGTATGAAGGAATCTCATGATATAATCATAAGAAGCCGGACATGAGAGATTCATTTGATGCCATTCACGTGCACCACAAATCCACGTTTACATTAAGTGAGAATAGTGATGACCTCTTGAAAGGTTGTAACTAACAAACACCAGGTACTAAGGAGCCTTCTGGGAGTTCAGGTATTCTGGATATTATCTGTGTACACTATATACACATATACTATGTGCAAAACTTCGTAAGTTGTACATTTAAGAATTGTTTTTTACTGTCTAATTTTACACTGTAAAATTTAAAATACAAACAGCAACAAAAAGCCCCATGGGTGCTCAGTATCTCTTCCAACTTGAGCTCCTTACAGCATTTTAAAAAAGATTTTATTTATTTATTTTTAGAGAGAGAAGGGAAGGAGAGAGGGAGCAAAACATCCATGTGTGGTTGCCTCTCGCACACCCCCTACTGGGGACCTGGCCCGCAACCCAACCAGTGATCCTTTGGTTCACAGGGCTGAGCTCAATCCACTGAGACACACCAGCCAGGGCGAGCTCCTTAAAGCATTTTTATCTTTTTTTTTTAATCTTTATTCAAGGACATTTTGCAATGTTTTTGTTTTGTTTTGAGAGAGACAGAGAAAAAAAACATCAATCAGTTGCCACCTGACATGTCTGGACTGGGGCTTGAACCTGTAAGCTGGTGCCATGACCAGCAATCGAACCCTCAATCCTCAGGTTATAAGATAACGCTCAACCAACTAGGCCACACTGGACAGGGCAGCATTTTTTTTAATCTTAAAACCACTAATTCATATTCAGCATTTTGACTACAGCTCCTTAAATACATAGAGCACTCAAGCTGAAAGTGCTGCATAGAATTAGAGTCCTTCTTCTTTACATAAATTCTTTCACTGTGAAAATACAGAAAGTTTTGCCCTGACTGGTGTGGCTCAGTGGGTTGGGTGTCATCCCACAAATTAAAAGGTTGACAATTTGATTCTCAGTCAGGGCACATGCCAGGACTCAACCTTGAGTTGGGGGCTTCCAAGAGACAACCCCCATTGATGTTTCTTTCTCTCTTTCTCCCTCCCTTCCCCTCACCCTAAAAATAAATCTTTATTCTTATTTTTTAAATAGTTTGTTGATTACACTACTAGTTGTCACATTTTTTTCTCCCCTTTACCCCTCTGCCCTGTGCTCTCTCTAGCATCTCCCCCCACCACCCCTTAGTTCGTGTCCATGGGTTGTAAATATCAGTTCTTTGGCTTCTCCATTTCCTGTACTATTCTTAACCTCCCCCCATCTATTTTGTACCTACTAATTATGCTTCTTATTCCTTTGTTCTTTTCCCCCATTCTCTCCATACCCCATCCCTCCTGTGATCTCCATCTCTGTGATTCTGTTCCTGTTCTAGCTGTTTGCTTATTCTGTTTCTCAGTGGGGTTTTTTTTTTTTTTGGTTCAGTTGTTGATAGTTGTGTTTGTTGTCATTTTATTGTTCATATTTTTTCTTCTTAGGTAAGTCCCTTAAACATTTCATATAATAAGGCTTGGTGATGATGAACTCCTTTAACTTGACCTTATCTGGGAAGCACCTTATCTGCCCTTCTATTCTAAATGATAGCTTTGCTGGATAAAGTAATCTTGGATGGAGGTCCTTGCCTTTCATGACTTGGAATACTTTCCAGCTCCTTCTTGTCTGCAAAGCTTCTTTTGAGAAGTCAGCTGATAATCTTATGGGAACTCCTTTGTAGGTAACTGTCTCCTCTTCTCTTGCTGCATTTAAGATTTTCTCCTTGCCTTTAATCTTGGGTAATGTAATTATGATGTCCTAGATGTGTTCCTCTTTGGATCCAACTTCTTTTGGATTCTCTGAGCTTCCTGGACTTGTATGTCTATTTCCTTTGCCATATTGGGTAAGTTTTCTTTCATTATTTTTTTTTTCAAAGAAGTTTTCAATTTCTTGTTCTTCCTCTTCTAGCACTCCAATGATTTGGATGTTGGAATGTTTAGAGTTGTCCCTGAGGCTCCTAAGCCTCTCCTTATTTTTGTGAATTGTTGTTTCTTCATTCTGTTCAGGTTGAATGTTTATTTCTTCCTTTTGTTTCAAATCATTGATATGAGTCCTGGTTTCCTTCCCTTCACTGTTGGTTCTCTGTACATTTTCCTTTATTTCACTTTGCATAGCTTTCCTTTCTTCCTTCATTTTGAGGCCATACTTAATATTTCTGTGAGCCTCCTGATTACCAGTGTTTTGAACTCTGCATCTGATAGGTTGGCTATCTCCTTGTTGCTTAGTTCTTTTTCCAGAATTTCGATCTGTTCTTTCATTTGGGCCATATATCTCTGCCTCAAGCACCTGTTACATTGTAAGGACCAGAGCCTTAGGTATTTACCAGGGCCAGGCAACCCACTTGGATGCATGGTGGTGCTGTATTTGGGAAGGGGCAGAGAGGGAACAATGCCACTTTCTCGGCTCTTGCCCGGATTTCAGTCACTTCCCCCATTATCCACAAGCAAAATTGCACCCTTCTAGTGCTGGCTGCAGGGTGGGTGGGCTTGTGTTTGTTCTAGGATCCTCCAATGGACTCTCCTGTGATACCGGCAGTTTCTCCTGCCACCACAACCCACACAGATTTTTATAGCCAGAGGTTTTAAAGCTTTCTTTCCCAGCGCTGGAAACAAGGGCTGTGCTGTCTGTCTCACTCCCCAGTTGCTCCTCCCTGTTTATCTACATGCTAATGTGGGACTGCCTGGTCTGCCAGCCACAGTCTTGATACACATCCTCTCTACCCTAGCTGCTCATCTCCACCCTTCCTACCAGTGTAGATGAATGTTTCTTCTTTAACTCCTTGGTTGTTGGACTTCCATACAGTTCAATTTTCTGGCAGTTCTGGTTGTATTTTGTTTTTAAATTGGTTGTTGTCCTTCTTTTTGTTGTCCACAAAAAGAAGTATACCTACCTATACCTCCATCTTGGCTGGAAGTCCATTTAGCAAA